GGCGGCCTGTGGACAGCGTTTTATTTCTGCTGCAGCCACACATCCTGGGCCTCCCACATCAGCCCCTGCATATCCTGCCTGCTGTTGGCTCTCATCTCCCGCCTGCCCAGGGCTGCTAAGGGGCCTCGCTGGCCAGGCTTGGGGGTGGGAGGCTTCCAGGAAGAGCAGAGCCCAGCATGGGTCCCCTGCAGGGCCTGGAGTAACGAATAATAACTCCCGGTGGAGGACTCGGGTGGAGACAGGCGACACCTGGCCAGCAGAGAAGCACAGCAGCTCTGCCTGTGGCCACCAGGATGGCCCAGCCAGAAGTCACGGAACCAGGCGCAGACTCCAACCCAGCCAGCCCTGTCCCGGCACCTGTCCTGAGAGTGTGGCACAACTCTGGAGGGCCCGGGACTTCCTGCAGGTGACGGCTCCCCCGTGCGCGAGAGGGCCGCCCCCCGGGGACATCCGTGTGAGAAGAACCCCACCTCACCAGGGGAGGCTCTGCGGGCGCTGCTGCAGCAGGGCCGGGGGGTGGACGGTACCGCCCCAGCGTCAGGCCTGCCCCCCCCCCCGCCCCGGCTTTTCCGTCCTCCCTTCTGTGTCCCCTCTCCACGCCCTCCCACCTACTGGCCCAGGCACACCTGGCTGCACCAGGACGTCCTTATCCTCCCTCTGCTCTGAGCTCTGCCACTGGCCACTGTGTGCCTGCTGGGCTGGGGACGCGGTCCGGGAGGGCGGGACCAGCGGAAGGGGAGGGGCAGGCGAGCGTGGGGCGGGGCGGGGCGGGGCGGGGGGGTTCTAGTTCTAGCCCAGCTGCACCCGCCTCACCCGTGACGGCGCTCAGCGCTCTCCCCGGGTCGCGGGGGCTGCAGGTCCAGCTGGCCAGGACAGACTGCGTCCACTCTGAAGGCCCCGGGGCCAGGGGGACTTCCCAGCCCCCGGCACCGCCTTGCTCCTGCTGCTCCCGGGAAGAAAGGCTGAGGCAGGCGGGACGCTCGCTGCCCGTGAGCCGGTCCCTGGCCGAGGCTGCGCAGACCAGGGCCCCACTCCGGGGTCAGGGGCAGGACGCACACAGGGTCCCCCGACGCCAGGGCGGCCCTGCGCAGAGGACCCGGCCGCTGCACCTGTGCACCCAGACTTAAATTGTGGAGTTGGGGCTTCAGGATGCAGCTGCGGGTTCGAGGCGGGGCCACTGTGTGAACCCACGGCACCGATGGGGTGCGGACGCTCTCCTCAGGCTCCCACCCAGTCGGGTACAGGGCGGTCCTGCGGGTCACGCTGCTAGGCAGGAGCTGCTTTCGAGGCAGAAGGTTGGAAGCCTGGACAGCAGGAGGGAGGGAGCTGTGCCCGGGAGACGCAAGAGTGAATTGAGGCTTGGGGAGCGCGCAGGAAGGCTGTGCGTCCCAGGGCCTCTGGGAGGAGTCGGACACCGCCCTTTCACTGTTTGGAACCCAGGCTCCTCTTCCACGTCCGGAGGGAGGCAGTGCCACGGCCACAGAGGACAGGCAGGCAGTGGGGACCTGGCAGTGGGGACCTGGCTGCCACCGTGGGCACTGATGCAGGCCAGGGCCACCAGGCTGAGACCCGCTGACCCCGTGCGGGGGTTTCTCGACATCCCGAATGGTCCGTCACCCAGGCAGGCACCGCGGGCCTTCTCCCGAGAATCCTGGTCTGAGACGGGGTGACCGCAGGGTGGAAGCGGGGAAGAAACCCCAGAAAACGCTACTGTTGAGGCCCATTCCGCGTGGACTTGGTTCAGACAAGGCCAAAGCCGGCAGCCTCCACTTGCCAGCACCCCGCTGGCCTACCATGCAGCCCTTTGTCCCCAGAAGCCCCAGTGAGGCTCAGAATTAGCATCACAAAGGCCAGTGAGGGCCAGGGAAGGGCTGCTGGGGGCCACAGTCTCCAGGGGGCCTGTGTGTGTGTGCGCGCGCGTGCGAGCGCGCCCCGTGAACACGTGCGTGTGTGAACTCCGCAGGTTTTTGCAGAATTTCACAGATGTCAGAATCATCTGCCATCTTGGGAGCCACCTTGCAACATTTTTGTTCTTTGAATCTTGTAAATACCCAGTGACTGAGAGCATCAGTAAGTGAAATCTTTCAAATTATGATTTTATGATTAATTTTAAGGGATAAAACACGCTCAGTTTTATTTTTGAGATAGGGTTTGCCAAGTTACTAAGTTACCTGGGCTGGCTTGAACGTGGGATCTTCCTGCCTCAGCCTCGCAGAGTGCTGGATCACAGGTGTGTGCCACATCGCCTGCTGCCTGTGTCTTCAGAGGATGTGGCTGCTGACTGTGCAGCTTGATGCTTCAGCTGCCTGTGGGTGACAGACTTCCTACTGGAGTAGCAGGAGGACCGGTGTTACGGCTGTGTCTACAGATGTCCCCCAAAGCCTCAGGTGGTCACAGGGGGCCTTTCGGAGGTGGCTGGATCTATTATGTGGTGCTGGGGTCAAGCGTGGTGAGTACTGAACGTGTCCCCTGACTGGTTCTGGCAGGATTGAGGGTGTGAGTGCTGCGCCCGCTCTAGGGCCAGAAGCCCTCATAGAATATAAGGGACAGAAGGAGGGTAATGTGCTCTCGCCTGCCTGCACTACTGTGGACTGTGTCTCCTCTGCGATGCCCCTCTGCCGTGCCACCCTGCCCTGGAGCCGGCCGACTGTGGACTGAGACCTCTACAGTCTGTGAGCCAAATCAACCTCTCCCCCTTTAACCTTGGGTGTTGGCGATTTTGTCTCAGCAATGGGAAAAGTAGCCAAGATAAACAGGTTCCTTGCAGCAGGCCTGAGGAAGACGGGCTTTGTTGTTGTTCCTGTCTCCTTCTCAGGGGCTCAGGGATGTGTAAGCACCCATGGGAGTTGAGGCAGGAAACCCCCAACTTGGGGTTGGTCCCCTTAGTTCCTCAGCTGACGGGACAGGACCTGGGCGTCCTGTGTGTCTTCCCCTCACAACCCGAGAGTCCATCCAGGAGCTGAGGAGAGGGGAGTGCACCACAGAGGCCTCTGCAGGGTGTGGACGCCACACCAGGGAGCCGTGTGGGTGGGTTCCTCCCCTCAAGGCTGCTGCTCCTACTGTGGGCACAGACACAGTGGTGTTCCCTAGCGGGAGCCTTTCCTGGACCCCTCTGTGGCATCTGCGGTGGCATCCTGTGGCCACACCAGAGCAGCACCTGGCACACACGGGGCCATGCAGGAGTGTGGGCGTCGGGCACCAAGGGGCTCTGGGTGGCCCCTGGGTGCGGTCCCCACGCAGCGGAGTGCAGCTCCCGGACACCTCACAGCAGGAAAGGCCGAGGGCAGAGGCGAGCGTAGGACTCGGACACGGATCTGCTGAGGGTCAGATGGGCCGGGGTGGACAGGCAGGGCTGGTCCCTGCATGGCGGGTGCCCTCTTGCGGGGGTGACAGAGGCCGGCCACCTCTGGGGAGCAGGGAGCGGAGGCCTCCGCGAGGGCCACCTGTGGGGCCCTGGTGCTGGGCTCAGCCTGAAGCTCGGCTGGAGGGCGGCCTGGGATAAGGGCCCTGCGGGGCGTGTAGGACCAGCCTCCGCTGCGCCCCAGCACTGGCCCACGGTGCAGTGGGAAACCCTGCTGTCACCACCCCGGCGTCGGGGTCTGGCAGGGCCTGTGCCCTCGGAGCCAGGAGCACTGAGGACTCGCGGGAGGTGACATGGCTCTGCAGCCCCCACCTGCCCATCTCGTCCAGCTCGGTGGTCTCCAAGACCCCAGGCCAGTGGTGGGAGTGAGAGCTGCTGGACTCCTGTACCGATGCTGTTGGCTGGCTCTGTGGTCGTGTTCTGGGGAAACTGAGTTTGGGCAGTCTGCGGAGCTGGGCGGAAGAGGTGGGACCCCGGGCAGCCTGTGTCCCCCCAACCCAGCCAGCACCCCTGAGGCCTGGCACTGCCCTGAGTGGCCACCGCCCTGAAGCAGGTCCAGCTCTGCCATCTAGTGCCAGGGCTGAACCCCGGTCCTTCAAGCTGAGCTGCATCCCAGCCCCCCCCCCCTTTATTCTGAGACAGGATCTCCGTAAGTCCCTCAGTTGCCCAGCTGGGCTTGAAATTACGACCCTCCTGCCTCAACCTCCCCGAGTGCTGGGATTACAGGTGTGCAGCACCATGCCTGGCTTTCATTTGTAGTTCTGAGTTACAAGAGATCTCCAGCCATGGCAGGACGAGCCCCCGGGGTAGGGCAGCTCTGCTGCTATCTCCCAGGGGCCCGCTGGGTGGGCGGGAGGACAGCACCCGGTCTCCAGGCTGGGCTCCCCACTGTCTCTTGCTCTTACCAGAGACCAGCGGTGCTAGCTTGGGCCCTGCTCCGCCAGTCCTCCCACCCCAGCCAACCCCGACCTTCTGGCACAGGGCCTGGCTTTCTCCAGGGGCTGAGGATGGGGGCAGCCACGTGCAGGGTTCTCCCGAGGAGCGGCAGCCTCGCTCCCTGCTGCCCGCACCCTGTACCACGTGGGGCCCGCTGACCTGACGGGAGACGGAGCTCGGCTCCTGCCAGGCGGCCCGGGCTTGGCTCAGGGCCCTGCCCAGTACACAAAGCAGCGGCCACTGGGTGGGGATGGCGGCCTGATGGGGCGGCTGAGGCGGAACAACTCCCGCTCACTCAACCAAGGTCTGCAGAGCGGGGCCACGTCCGTGGAGAGAGTGGGTGCTGGCCTCCTGGCCTCGGGCAGGAAAGCCCTGTCTCCAAGGCCTCACCAAGCAGAGGCTGCCAGGGGGACCTGGCATTCAGGACGCCACACCACCAGGATGGCAGTGGCCACGAGGGTGGCATAGGGACGATGCCTCCGTGTCCGGGGCTCCTGGCGCAGGTTCAGAATCTGCCAGACCCGGGAACAAACCGCTCGGAGGAGGCTGGGCTGGAGGCCCCCTGCTCTGCACAGCCAGCGAGCTTAGGGGTTTGGCCCCAAACCCTCTCAGCCTCACCCCAAATACACAGAGCAGCTGTCTACTTTTAGCAGAAACCACAAGCAAGACTTAGGTGAGCTTATGTATTTACAAAGAAACGGAGCCCGGTTTTGGGTCTTTATTATAAGCAGACTCAGGCGTCCTGCTTAATCTACAGAAAAGTCCGGTATCATGAAGGTTACCAAGGTGTCCTTTATCTACAGAAATAAAAGTTAAAAACACCATACAAAATAAATTTTACAGAAATGTTCGATTTGGTTTAATTCGCAATTTAATGTCTTAAAGCAGGTTAATGAATCATCACTGTTGGAGAATGACTTATGTTAAATGCACCTACTCTATTTAATAATTTAAAAATAAACTCCCGTGTTTCTGATGGTGGCAGCTACAGCTACCAATCTTGTGAAATACATTTTTGAAGCCTCTCTGATTACATCACATAATGAATGGACATTTTAAATGGCAACACAGACACATGTTATGATTTTAAGTCAGAGATGATGTACGCATATTAAAATTCTGTATTTCTTCATAAGATAAAAAATAAAGCTATAAATTGATCTTTAGATTTTTTTCTGCAAAAGTAGAATCACACCTTCGTAATACTTCCAACATACCTTCATTAAAGCTTAGTTTATAGACACGCTATCAATGATTCTCATTCCTGTTCACCTGCTCTCTAGCTAAAAGAAAAAATAAATAAAAAGATTGCATTTGCCAACTGGTATTTTTTCTGGGTTTTAAAGTTACAGGTAACTCCCAAAGGAAATGTAGAATGCAAGGACCTGCTGTTGTACTGTTGTCAATAAATAATATTCTGGTGAAATAAAAATGGTTGTGAGTTCGATACCAGTCAGTGCGCTCCCCTGAGCTTGGCACACAAAGCCCAGGCTGGCGACTGCGCAGGACACGGGCTGCACTTGGGGCTGACGCATCTGTCAACTTGCAGCCTCATGCCCTCTTCCCACTCGCGCCCGTGCGGCTCCTCTCGGGCCAGAGTGGCCTTGGCCGGTGGCACTCAGGGCTGGTTGGCGGCGTCTGCCCGTTTCCCTGCTGGCCCACAGCTCCCCGGAGGCCTGGAGTGAAGCCTGCTCTGGCTGGGGCACCGGACCCCTGCGTGGGAGGCACTTGGCCAAGGTTCCATGGCGTTGCTGAGGCCCCGTGCACGTGCGGCCACACCTCCTTCGCAGGATGAGGGTGCGTGTGTGTCCGGCCTGGCCAGAGCGTGCACACAGGGACTTCAGGGAGGAGGCAGGGTGCGCAGGATGTAGGCGAGCATGTGTTTGTGGGTGTGTGTGTATATGTGCATACAGGCTTACACACACAACGGCTGTGAGTGAACTGGGAGCGTGCACACACACACACACACACACACACACACACACACAGAGGCAGGACACTGGTGTGAGCGAGGGGACGGCGTGCCCTGACCAGTGTCAGAAGCCACGAGCTGACTGGCTATGAACATGTGCAGCAGCAAACAGGATTTCCAAACCCAGGAAAATGCTTCAGTTGGCATCACTTGCTTTAAAGTTAGTTTAAGGCAAGCAAACAGCAGCCACCGTGAGGTGCAGGATCACATCAAACCCATCTGAACTGTCACGGCCTCCGGGTTCTCCTTTCCCTGCTCTGATTTTGCTCGGCACACGCATTTAACAAATTCCCGGACAGCTTCGGAAATGACATTGGAGCGAGAAGCCGGTGCCTTCTTACAAAGACTGCAGCTGTGGAGCTGAACAGGCAGAACAGGGCCGGCGTGCCAGGCGCTCTGGCGAGAGTCAGGGATGAGGATGGAAATTAAAGAACGAAAAGCAGGCGACACTGCCAAGGAGCAGAGCAAATTACTGTGCTTTCACTGCACCCTCCGTGCGCCTCTGCCTCCAGGTGCCAAGGGACAAGGAAGCGTGGAGAAGAAAATGAAATCTCAAAATTCACATTCATCAGCTTTCAGTCAAATTCTTGGAATTTAAATGCAAAGTGGCCAAAATTTCATAAACTTAAAAAATGAAAGCTTTAAAAACATACTTTAAAAATTAGATGATACGTTAGCAAATAAAGGGATAAAAGAGATATAAACAGCTATGAAAATACTTCAGTGCAAAGGCAATTTTAAGATTTCTAAAAAAATACATTACAAATAATTTGTTAACTCAACATACAGAGAATCTGTCCCCTACTGGTTTTACATCTCTACCCACTCTGGATTCTTAGAAAGGGCTGTAAAAATGCATGCTGACATCTGTGGGTCGGCGTGGACCTCGGACAGAGAAGCACTGCGGCCGCGGCCAGGCAGGAGATGCGGAGGGAGGCAGGACTGCGGGGCCGGCCTGGACGGCAGCCCTCCTCCTGCCTCTGCTCAGCCAGGCGGGACCCCAGCTTTGGTGCGGTGCTCACCTCCCCACTGGCCCCACCACTGTGCTCCCCGGCTGGCTGCTGACCCAGCCCCAGGCCCGGCTGAGGACAGGGAGCGGGACACAGCCAGAGGCGGACGCGACCTCCAGCCCTGGAATGCACCACACCAGCGCCCGGCTGGGAGCTGCAGGCACAGCGCTGGCTTCTCCGGCTGCTGGCGGAGGATTTTCTGCAAGGCCTTGGGCCCCAGACTGAGGACTGAGCCCGGAGCTGAATCTTCCCTTCGCTGGGACCATTAAGGCTACGGAACACAGAACCTTCTGGGAATGCAGATGGGTGAAAGTCACGGAGCGTCACAGGACAGCAGCCTTCTGACGGCTGTCCGCCCAGGAGAAGCCCTGGACAGACCCTAAGACGGGCGAGGCCCCTGAAGGCAGCCCGGGAGGGTTACATGGAGGTGGCTGAACTGCGGACTGGATGTGGACATGGGCCCACATCAGCCCACGATGGGCCCGGGGACCCAACCACCTCTCAGGGGGAACAAAGGTGGTCTGACCACAGCCAAAGATCTGCCCGTGCCTCTCGCCAGCGCCTGAGAACGAGTAGTTCGCAGGCAGGGAGCTGACTCGTCCCAGGTTTCTGGGGGATGGACATCGCCAGGATCCTGCAGAGGCCTGGCCAACAGCGAGCCCTGCCCAAGGTGGACATGTTCCCCTCCACAGGGCAGCGGTGACGAGAGACAGACCCCGAAGCCGCAAGGCCCAGTGTGCAAGGCCAGCCTCTCCTCAGCAGACCAAGGGCTTCCCTAAGAGGGTGGCGCGCATGGGCAGAGCGAGGCCGCAGGTCAAGCATGGACACGCAGCAAGGTCTGCTGCGGGCGCTTCTCAGATTGAACTGTGGTAGTTCTGCAGGAGGGAGGTGCAGAGGGGCGCTGCGACCAGGGCACTGGTCCACAAGGCCGTCCACGTGTGGGGCGGCCACGCGCAGGAGATCGAGGCCCGGGGCGGGCCGGGCTTTTCTGTGCAGTCCCAGCAGACGTGAGGACGGGACGGCGGCACATGGGCAGGCCGGGCAGAGGCCTATGTCCGCGCCCAGTGGGAGCTGGCAGGGGCGACTGCAGCACAGGCCACCTTATGTCCTGGGCACAGGCGGCCACAGCCCTCACGGCTCGGGCTGCCTGGGCACTCTCCGTGCGCCTGGCACGTGGGCAGGCCCGACAGGACGTGGGACTGTGACAGTGCTAGGGCGGCCAGGTGGGCAGGAGCACGGCATGCTCCTCACTCCCCCAGAGCGCTCGTGGCTGCTCCCTGGGCGCGGGGTGGTGCAGGGCGGCCATGGGCCTGGGGTCCCAAGCACCCAGGCTCCACAAAGAGGCAGGATGGGCAAGCTTTGGACTGCTGTCCTCACGCTGAGTGTTCTGCCAGGAAGGAGAGACACAGTCAGGGCAGGGGCCTCCTCAGGAGCATGTGACGCTGCCCTGGGTCACCCTTGCGGATTCAATGGGCCCTATCCCAAGGGAAGGTCACAGGGCTGCCCATTGAGCTGCCGGCAGAAGCAGCGTCTCCACATCTAGGCACAAACCCCTCCACTTTGGTGCCCAAGTCCCGGGTCAAACAGGGAGGGCAGGGCCGAGGGGACCCTGGTTGGTGCTCACAGGGACAGCCACGTGCCGGGTGCCAAGCATGGACAATGCAGGTCCAGCTGGACAGGGACTGGACCATGTCCAGGGTGCCAACACACAACCCTCCTCTGGGTTTCAGAACAGGACTGACTGACTCGCTTTTAGGTGAAGCAGTTCCCACCGCTAGGGCGGGTAGCCATGCGCGCGTGTGGAGGGCGCTGGCCACACGCGTGTGTACGCATTTGTGCGTGGTGTGCCCCCTGTTTCAGCTCCAAGGCACGCCACTTACCTGGGAAAGCAAATGCACCGCGTGTAAAACGGGGCTCTTTTTGCACAGTGAACCTCTGTAACCAAGACCGGCACAGCACAGCAAAACTTTGGAGGAAAACAGTGCAGAGAATCACAGCACACGGGCCATGCCCAGCGGGCAGCGGCCGCACGTTACCTAGCGCGGCGCTAGTGGCGCCTCGGCTGGGGCAAGAGGTCCTTCAGCAGGGGCCCGTCGCGGCTTGGCATGGCGTCGGCCGGTGCTTTGTGCTGCTCGCGCCTCTGCAAGGGCGAGGGAAACGCTGAGATGTGCAGGGCCAGGAGCCTGAACAGGGCGGCCCGACAGCCAGCGAGCACACCATGGAGGGCGGAGGGGCCCACACGGGCTCTGATCATGCACAGTGGACTACACTCACACATGCTCCCGTGTGCCCATGTGCTCGGCAGGGCGGGGCCGGCACACGGGGTGTCTCAGCCCAGGCACGTCCGCCTCAGGGGCGCCTGCGCACGGGCTTTTCAGTCTCGCTGCGCACTCAGTCATGGGAGAAGGGGCTGAGGGCCAAAGAGTGGCAGATCAGGTGGAGCCGGCGAGTGTCCAGGGGAGACGGACATGAGCCAGAGGTGGAGCTGTCCCCTCCAGCGTGGTCAGGGACAGCACGTCAGTATGCAGCAGAGACAGGGCCAAGTGCACATGTATGGTGCCAGACACACGAGCCATGTCCATGACACATACATGCCTGCGTTTAGACAGGGACAGGCTGAAAGGACCTTGTATCTCTTTGGGGTCAGATCTGCCCCACTGTGGCCACTGGACATCGATTCCTCCAAAGTTTTGCAGAGCAGAGTGTTCACATGTGTGTGCCCGGTGTGTGTGTGCCTGGTGTGCGTGTGCCGGGCATGTGTAGTGCCAAGGGCTCTGCGGCCCCACTAGGGGTCGAGGGCACCGCTCACATGGCCCCTCCAGAGCCTGAGGGCCCAGCTCGGCACCGGCTGAGAAGCCATGTGGCTCAGGGAATGCTGCGGTTCAGCCTGAGCTGTGGGGATCTGACAGCGCCAGTCCCAGCGACCTCCTCTCAGCTGCTCTCAGGGTGCAGGCAGGCGGCTGGAATCGTGCACTTTATTCTCACCAGCTCGATGGTGCCAAACTAAAACGTTTGGGTCACTGATAGTGACTGGCTTTGAAAAACGTACTGTCTTAGTGCATAAAAGCCAAGATGGGTCATCACTGAAGAAGCCCGGCTCGGCTGCCGCTCCGGAGCAGCGTGCTGTCACCGTGTGTCCTGCGTGGCTGGCGGCGGGTGGCACTGGGAAGCCCAGGGGTGGCCGCCCTCCTGAGTGCACCCGCGCCATCCTCCCACACGTGAGAAGGCGGGGAAGGTCACCTGTGGTCAGAAATTCAGACCGCTGGAGGTCTGGGAAAGCATAAAGACGGTGGGCTGCTCAACGGAAAGGCACTGGTTCCTGGCCTGCCAGTCCCGCGTCCGGAGCCGCGCGGGAGCACGGACACAAGTAGTGGTTATTTAGGCAAAGCAGGTGGAAGACAGGACGACAGGGAGGGAAGAGAGACAAGAGAGGTGAGTTGGTTACCGCGGACATAGCCCACCACACACGCACACGCACACACGCACACACATGCACACACACACGCAGGCTCCCGTGGGCGGGCGGACAGACACCTTGGGCTGCGACCCACGGCCTCGCCCTCCTCAGCCGGCTTCTCCCTCCCCCGCCCGCACCAGGGCCCTTCCTCTGTCCCCCCTGCTACAGGGCAGGCTGGCATTTATAGAGGCCACCACCTGGGAGCCACAGAAGTTGCCAGCAGCAGCAGGGCCTGTCCCTGAGGAGGGGTGGGAGGCCTCCAGGATGCCACCAACTTGAAAGGAGGTTCTGGGGCGAGCTCGCTGTCAGAACCTGAGTGCACATGGCTGGTTTAATACTGAAGTGTGCTTGTGCAGAGGTGCATGGTGAGCACGTGCCTGCTATGTCCCTGAGCATGGGGTGCATGGTGAGCATGTGGCTGCTGTCCTGGGCACAGGTACTATCAGAAACATGCCTGTCACTGTGGAATGTGCATGGGTACGCCCACTGCTCTGAGGCCTGGGAGGGCCCTGTCCTGAATCTGCTGGCAGCAGTAGGAGGTATGAATCAGGGAGGCTGGAGCTGGTAGCCTTGGCCTGCATGTTAAGACCACACAAGGCTCCAGGGAGTTCACACACAGGTCCTGCTCAACCACCAGGTGGTGTGGGTGGCCTGGCCGGCCCCATGGTGGCATCTGTGGCCTTCCCAACAGGCCAGCCCAGGCCAGCTGGCACCCTGGCGATGTGGTTCCCCCTCCCCATGTCCCCTGCACCCACAGGAGCTGTTGTGGGCTCTGCCCTCCTCCTCTGGTCTCTGTCCAGGGCCTGCCTTGCCAAGGTTAGACTCTCCCTGAAGGGAACCTGGAGAGCTGTTTGCTTTTGTTGAGACGAAGTTTCACTATGTAGCCCAGGCTGACCTGGCACTCGCATCCTCCTGCCTCAGCCTCCTGAGAGCAGGATTATAGGCATGTGCCACCATGCCCAGCACGGGAATCTGTGTGAGGGGCACAGGGATGGGAGGGAGGCCTGGACAGCTTCCTGCTTCCTCACCCAGCCCTACTCCTGCTCCTGCCCGGGAGGCCCAGCAATCCCTAGCTTCTCTCACTTGCTAGGGTGCTGGGCCAGGCTCACCCTCTAGAACAAGCAGCCTTAACCTGAGTTAATTTGAGTGTTTCGTGGACTGACAGAAAACGATTCACCTTTGGCATCAATGTCTGTTCCTAGCCTTTGCCTGAACACAGCTGCCACTCCAAGCATCACACTAGATCCCGGGCCTCTTGGATCTCAGCCAATTTAAAGTGTCTGCCTCAGTTTACGCCTAACGTCACGGATCACCGCGAGGCTCCTTCGCTGGCCTCGGGCTCATCCTGTCTGCTGGAAAGCAAACCTTGGTGGCCTCGGGGCTCCCGCTCCCCATTTCCATGCCGGGCAGCCAGCAGCCGGCCCTCGGCTGGGTCCATACCTGGGTTCGCTCTGTCGCTGTGGGCCACAGCTGTCTGCACAGGACCTTCTTGAGGACGTCGGGGAGGAGGCTGACGGTGATGAGCAGAACGATGCCCAGCCAGGCCGGTCCGCAGGACAGCAGGTGTAGGAACACATAGTACATCCGCTGGTAGCTGAGGAACGGCCTGCCGGGGTGGCCCAGCATCAGACCATGCCGCCCGCGCCCTCAGCACGCCGCTCCAGCCGGCCCGGCCGGAACTCACGGTGGGGTGGGGGACAGGACGGAAGGCCGCTCCAGGGCGCTGGGGCCCAAGAGCAGGACAGGGAGAAGAGGCCCGCGGTGTCAGCCCCGAGGGAGACGGGAGCCCTGTAGTTCAGTTTGAAATGGCAAAAGCAGCAGGATGGGAGTCAGCCTGGCTGTAGCTGGGAACTTGTTCTGGCTTAGATCTAGATCCTGCGACAGCCTCCTGCGCTCACAGGTGGGGCCTTTGGAAAGTGACTGTCCCTTGGGACTCACAGGAGACCGTCAGGAGGCGGGGCCGGGTGGAGTGGGCGGGGCCTGGTGGAGTGGGCGTGGCACGGACGGGTTCTCTTCCCTCCCAGCTCCCCCTTCCTATCTTTGCTTCCTGTCTGCCATGTGGTGAGTAGCTAGCTCTCCTCCGCCAGGCCTCTCTGCCTTGCAGTCCTGCCTTGGAGCCAGCTGAGTATGAACTGAAATGTGAGCCACAGTAAATCTCTCCTTCCCTAAGTTGTGGGTGTTGGGTGTTGTGTCCCAGCAAGCAGGATGGAGACTAAGGCAAAACTGGAGGTGACAGTGGGGCTGTGAGCACCAAAGCAGGTGCCCGGGACACAGCACGGAAGGCCCTAGAAGCTGGGGAACTCGTGCTGTGCTGACTCTGGCCTGGGCAGCTCCCGAGAAGCAGATGGGACCAGTGCTGTGGCTCGCTCTGTCCTGCCTGTGGTGTCCCTGCTAAACATCATGGGCAGCTGGGCCCTCTGCGAATGCAGAGCAGCGCTGGTGCCTATGGACTGGTGGCCCCCAGAGCGCAGTCGGTCAGTGGAACTCTCTGTACACCCTCCTCTCAGGCGTGGTGCTACAGCAGCAGAGCCAGCCAGGCACGGCACATGCAGCACACGCGGCACACACGGAACCCGCCCAGACCTAGCACAGAAGATGGGAACCACACCATGGCTCCCAGAGCCTCACCAGATGATTCCTCCCCAGAGCAGGGAGAAGACGACGTAGAAGAGCAGCGACCCCCAGATGACAAAGTGGTTTATCCAGGTCCAGTAGTGCGTGTCCAGCGCGAGCTGTGGGGACAGGGTGTGAGTGGGCAGCCAGGCGCCTCAGTGGACTGAGGCAAAAACAGAACCCAGCAAAAGCAGAATGGCTGCACACAACGTCCCAGAAAATGGCCACCCAAGCCCAGGGCTGCCAGCAGGGAAAGAATGTGGCATCAGAGCCCTGCTGGACACCGTTCCAGGGAGGAGGACACAGGCAGGAGGACCCAGGCCCCGGGGAGGCACCAAGAAGCGCTTCTCTTGGGGCTGGTGTGTCTTTACTGAGAAAGCTGCCCTGTGTCCAAGGCTCCGCCGGATGGGTCTGGGGCCTCCCATGATGCCATTCTACACAGACTCCACCTGGCTTTCCAGTGTTCAATTTCCCACAACATTCACTTATCTAATTGTTCTGATTACACCGGGGATGGGGCTACTTGCTGTTTGGAAGAGTGCTGATCAGAATCCTCCCGTGGAGAACAGACTTGTCCCTTCACTGTGGCATCCTGGAGGCCTGAGGGCTGCATGGCCCAGGTGTGCCGGGACCCTGCCCTTCCAGGGTTAAACCCAGGTGGGGGGGCCCTGCGGGCTGCCACATAGACGACTGTATGGAGAGTCCAGTTACCCGTGCCCCGTGGAGCAGGTGAACTGCAGCCGCCACTCACCTTCAGAGTGACCGTGAACACCATCACAGTGAACACCAGCGTTCCAAAGGTCCAGTTCCCAAACATCTGCGGGTGAGAGCCGCATGAGTCCTGTCCTCGTCATGCCCAGCTGGAGCCCAGGCAGAACTCCCAGCCCTGGGTACAGCAGGCAGCCAAGGCCTGGACTGCGTTCCAAGCAGAGCCTGAGGCCAGGGAGCTTGGAGACCCTGACGCGCCCCGGGTGCTCGGCCGGGCACACAGAGGGCACAGCACAGCTGGGCCAAACACGCACGCTGCACACTCAGGACCCGCCATTTTTCCTGATGACCCAGCTGCCCCTGCCACATTGGACAGCCCATGGCCAGCTGGACATCAGGACATGAGAGGGACAGCAGCAGGAAGAGGATGCGGGGCACAGATGAGACAGATGACAAAGGCCGGCCCTCCACAGCCAGAGCCAAAGACGCAACAACCAGACCTCGAGAAAGGGGATGGAGAGGGACTGGGAAAGGCGGGAGGCACAGACAGGGCCAAAGCCCAGGGGCACATTTCCGGGAACCCCCTCCACTCAGCTGGCTCCAGGGTCTGTGCCGGCTGGGCTGAGCTGCCAGTCTGCCGCGTCTGGACTGAGCCTCCCAGAGAGGGTTCCCAGCAGCTCTTTAAAATAGGATCAAACCTCACAGATCCAAAAGCTGCAATGCGCCCGGCTCTCCCCGTGATCCGTCACAGTTAAACATATAGACATATATGCTGTTCCTACAGCCCATGACTCAGTGTTGCTGAGCGAGGCCCAAGCCCCATGATGCTCGGCGGTGTGGTGAGGACATCCTTTTAAGTAACTGGCCTCTAACAGTTGGCGCTGACCTCTCGGGGTCCCATCGGCGGGGCCGGCTCACTCCATTCTTGGCTTCTTCCTTCTGCTCAGGAAATTTGGGCAACATAGCGTTCAGCTCTGCTTGGGGCTTCCTGGCCGGGCAGTTCTGCCTGCGGGACATGGCTGTGTCTGGAGACGTTTCCGACCGTTAGTCCAAGGCAGGAGGTGGCAGCAGAGCTGCTAACAGCACAGACGCCCGCCCGCCCGAGAAGGAGCCATGTGGCTCCAAGGTCCAAGGTGCTGCAGTTGGGAACCTCAGAGGATGCGCCTCAGAAACTGCTCCATCAGGGGAGGTGGCAGTGGCATCAGACCCCGCCCAGGCCCTGTGCCTGCTCACACATGCTCTGCCTCTAAGCTGCACCCTGCTGGCCCTGTGGTTCACTTCCTACAGAAGCATCCAACAGATGGGGCTGCTGGGGCGAGTGTGCAGCGTCCTGGCCTCAACTGCGGCAGGACACGAGCTATCACCATCTTCTTCAGGCAGCCGAGGTGCAACTTCCTACGTTGAGTTGAGGGCCCGGGAGGCGCCAAGCACCCTGTTCCGTGCTGGCGCTCAGCGAGGGCCCCTCATGGGACGGACAGTGTGGTGCTTGTCTCCGTGGAGTCTTGTGGGCCTTCTGGGGCGTAACCTCCCCGGCCCCGGCCCAGCCCCTTTCCTCTCCCTCCCTCCTAGGGCCAGTGTTCCGGGCCGGCCGTCTTCTGCTCACAGACGTGGACTGTGTGCTCTGTGTGCAGTCTTCCACAGCAAACGTTGTGTCAAGGCCACGTCACCCCTCTGCACCCCTCGCCCACTGCTGACCACTGCCTCTGACCGCTCCCTATCGAGCCACATCGGGGCTTCCTGACTCCCACTGTAGCTGTTCCCAGCCCTGCGTGCTCATCTGGTAACCCTGCCATGCGGCAGCGACAGTGGTGTGGACAAGGGCTCTAGTCTGCCATCAGGAGAAATAAGGGCATTTGATATCTGTGCAGAAACTGCTCCATCGTGAACTCTTCCTGGAGAAGTTGCTCACGATCCTACTGCGCTTGACAAGGCATGTGGCCTACTGTGCTCCTACAAAACAAGCCACCCTCGGGGGTCCTCCTCGCTCCCATTGTGTCACGCGGTAGGACACCCTGAGCCCCTCCCCAGAGTGGAGAAGTGGGGTGGCCCAGCTGTGGTCGCAGGGCCAGGAGGCCACCGTGCAGCAGTGCCACAGGTTCCCTGAGTTCTACAGACTCAGTGGAGCCTCTGTGGAGCCCCCCGAGGCCCTGTCTTTAGTCCCTGGTGTGGCTGACACCCCGTACCCCAAACATACATGAAACAGCCTCAGATGTCCCAACCCTGGACCCCTCCCTCACCAGTGTTGGGGAGAAGTGTGCTGTGTGTCACTTGCCACAGGGACCTGACCAGTGTCACGTGACTCAGGGCACATGGCAGCCGCTTTGAAGCCTGGCTCTGCACATGCATCGGTGAGTTGGCATGGCATGATGGCTGCCGAAGCCCACTCGTGTTCTGCGGGCTCTCCACACAGTGTGAGTCACACAGGCCCCTCTGCTGTGGCCCCCAGCAGGCCCACAGGGGTACCCAAGTGGCAGGGCTGCAGGCTGCCAAGCTGGCCTGACCGGCCCTGCTGGCTCCATCCTGGACTCTTCCTGTCCTCGTTCCGGGCTCACAAATAGGTCCGTCCAAGAGTGGTGACAACAGGCGTGTGGAAGCGGGGGCACAGAGTCCCTGCCAGCGCCCTCCCCAGGTGGATACAGCTTCATGGGCTCGAGGAGCTTGGTCGGACACAGGCCAGGAGCAGAAGATGGGAATGTGGGACTAGCGATGGAGGGGACCCGTGGCGGCATCAGCCGGACGTTCCTCGAGTCAAGGCGTCAGTCACCTGCCGGAGAAGGGAGCCGTCCACCACCCTCCTCTGCGGCCGGTCTTCAGGGCTCTCCCAGGAGCACCTGTCACTATCCCCCGAGGTGCTGAGCCCAGACGACACAGGCGGTGTGGGGCGGCCGGCAGACTCCAGGTGCGAGCACCTGGCCCCGGGCGAGAGGCCCAACCCGACTCAGCTCTTCTCTTCAGCCTCCTGGCCAGCACTGTCCCAGGGAGGGGGCTGCAGCCAGGACGGCGGCGTGACAGTGAGTGGGGATGGGCTCGGGGACACAGAGCCGTGTGCCTGAGATGCACATAGACGCCTGCGCAGGGCCCGGGTCCGGGATCCGTAAGGACGGGCACTTTACTGCACCGTGGCCTGAGCACCAGGAGCTGTTCAAGCGAAGCTGAGTAGAGTCCAGGACAGTGAAGTGTTTAACCTGTTCTCAGGACCAACTTAGTAAAAACTGATCTGTTACAATGAAAGACAGCCTTCTCCTGAGGTCAAATCAGGCACAACAAGGGGTCAACATCACTAGGACACACAGCCAGACTCCTGTCCCTGGTCCAATAGGTGGAGGGACGAACACGGGGAAGACGACACAGGGAGTGGAGAGGTGGGTGCCACGGCACGAAAGTGTCGGGCCCAGGCTATGCTGAGGGCGGGGTGCTGAGGAGCAGCCCCTGGCATCACCAGCACTGTCACCCTGGCCAGCAGGTCACCGTCAGGGGCCTCGGACATGCCTAGTGCTTGCGCTTGCTGGGGAAGTTTGGGGCCACCATGCCGTGTCCCACAGGCCTGGTGTCTCCGCTCGCAGGGCTACTACCGAGGAAGTCAATGTACTCGGCCCTGGTTCCCTGAGGACCTCACAGACCCAAGGACGGGGTTCCACGAGACGTGAGGCACACAGGCAGCTCGACTGCCAAGACAGGCAGGAGCAGGAGCCGCTGACAGCAGCTCCACCCACGAAGCACACGGAGGAGGGAACGAGGGAAAATATTTTTGAGAAATATTTTATTTCTAATGCACTCCAAAAACACAGAGAGGACACACTCACGATCGTCTTACCATGTGTGTGTTGGTGGTCATTATCTGAGGGTGGGAAGGGAAGCGAGTGGCAAAAAGAAAAAAATGAGATACAAATAAAACAGACCCCAGAAAGGATGCAAACAACCGCAGCGGCATGCCCACCAGCAACTGCACAGCTCCTGTGTCCAGGGAAAGCTGCCTGTGCACACAGGAAGTCCTGCAGCATGCTACGTAACCCCTGCCCGGTCAGGGCTTCGCCCTGGGAGACGACCCAACCATGAGGCGTCAGCTAATGGGACCGTCAGTGCCCTGGGGCCCGGGGCACCTTCCCTCGGGGCTGGGGCCCAGCACGCAGTACACGCTGGCCCTGCATGGCCACGACATATCTTGTCGGACACAGCACAGGCGTGTGCTCCTAGCTGGCCACAAGCCCTGCACAGAGGGCCGTGTTCCTGCCTCGCATGAGGACCACGGGCTCAGGGCTGCTGGCGGCCGGGCCAGTGAGGCCGTGCCCCACACTCACCTGCCCATTGCTGGTCACAGTCGTGTTTTCAAACATGAAATAAGCACCAAAGAAGAAGACCAGGGCATCGAACACCCCCAGGATCGTCCAGTAGGTGAATACCCGCCAGCGGAGCAGTGCGTTCTTGGCGACATCCCTGTTTGAGGACGAAGATGGGGCCTTCTGTGACGGTGGCACCAGCCCACTGTGCACCACTGTCCCACACTCTGGCGCATGCACCTCGGGTGCGCCCTGGGCGGGGTCACGGGCACCCAGTCTGCAGCCTCCGACAACGAGAGCACTGCGCTCAGACTGCACTGTCCTGCACACTGCGGCCCACCTGCGACCCAACGGGTGCCGGGCACACCTGTCCTCCTGACCGACAGCAACACGGAGCACAGTGCAACGTGCCCAACGGGAACAGCCTGGTGCCCTGGACTTGCCACCGGCCCACATGACCCTTACGCCTGCGCACCCCAAGATCACCCCTAGGACACTGTCCAAGATGGGCAAGCGCTCCCAGTTGCCAGGCCTTGGGGCCTCAGGTGACAGCCACACTCGATGTGGGCAGCGAGGCCAGTGGGGCTCCTGCAGAGGCCACAGGGGCGCAGCAGCGGCTCCTGGGCCTGCACACACGCAGACAGCCTGCAGAACTACACAGACGTGTGCACACCTGCAGGAGGGGCACAGGGAATCCGGGCTGCCTGAGGGAGGGTGAAGGGCACGCACGTCAGCCTCTGTGAGCCTGCAGCACATGAGGCCTCCCTGCAGTGTCCTCACAACTACACGTGTGTCTACAGTGCTGGAGTCAGTGTTTAGTGAAAAAGACCTCAACACACAGGAACATCGAACCTGGTAGAGATCCCGGAGGGTGCTCTGAAATACCAGAAAAACATGTCCTTATTATTAAAAACAAAAAGAAAAAGCTTTTCAGAAGCAAAGAGCACATCACGGTCTAGATCTACAATGTCCCCCAAAGCCTTGTGTGTCTGGAGGCGGGGCTCTGGGAGGGTGACTGGACGGTGAGGTGCTGTGCTCACAGTGACTCATAATCCATCAAGGGGTTCATGGTTGCATGTGCTTGGGGAGCTCCAGAGAGGTGGCCCCGGGAGGGAGCCTGGAAGGGGTGCTCTCGTCCCCTTGCTCTCTCTCGGGCTCTCTTGCTCTCTCTGCTCCCTGGCTGCCAGGGGCTGAGCAGCTGTCCTCCACCAGGCCCCTCTGCCGTGTCCTTGCTGCCTTGGAGGCAGCTGGCCATGAAATGGACCCTCTGAAGCCATGAACTGTGTAAACTTCTCCCCCTGTGATGGGGGTGCCAGCTATTTCCCGGGACGGGAAAGCTGAGTGCTGTGGAGACCCTGGAATCAGACCGGAACGGAACACTCTTGGCTCTTAAAGGTGACTCAGAGCGTAAGGTTCCTGGGCCACACAGGACAGAGGCTCAGCCTCAGCCCGTCCGTGACACTCAGAAGCACACAGAAACATGAGGTGCACGACACGCATTTTAAGTGCAACCTGAGTCATCTATCAGCCTCGAAGTGTGCTCGTGGAGACGGTGCAGCCGCCTGACTGTCAATCCCGAGGAAGCTAGTAAATTGGCTGGTCCTGAGAGTTTCTGGCTTTTATGTGCCGTCCTCAGGACCCAGCACTGCTCTGCCCTGTGTCTACCCTGGGACACGCACCTGTACAGGGATGGGTCCCTCTTGAGCACGTCAATGCCCACATGCTGTTCCATCAGGCTGTAGAGCAGGATCGGGAGGGAGGTGAAGCTGATGTTGTAGAGGGTCAGGTATGCGGTGTCGTACAAAGTCTGCGGAGGAGAAGCCCTGTGGGTATCACTGCAGCCCACAGACCCTGATGTCCTGGCTCAATATACAGAGAATCACACACAAAATGCATCTCCCATGCACCAGGAACCATCTTTCCACAGCTACAGATAGACCAGCATGAGACTCGGCCTCACAAGCATCAGGGTTAAAGACACAGCAGATGGGAAGCCCCTCTGCCCTGCCTGTCCACCGCTGCAGATGCCCCAGGGGAAGCCTGCAGTTCTAGTCACCCCCTGCCAACTCTGGCTGCCTGGTTCTGCTGCTACCGATGGGAGGAGCTGGCCCAATGTGCTCATCTAAGCGACAGGAGACACTGGGTGACAGACGGGCAGCTGCCTGGGCAGCAGGTGCCAGGAGCCTCCTGGTCCCTGCACACAGTCAGACCCTGAGGTGAGCAGAGCCCTCGGCACGTAGGTGTGGAGCCAGAGCCCAGTGACACAGGGTAACCTGGGGCCCTGTCACTCCCGGGCTTGTGTCTAGGAACACACTGGCCTCAGAACCTGGGGCCAGCGGAGGACAGCACCTGGACTGCTCCCCACCCCGTGTGCCCCTGGAGGGCTTGCCCCATGCAGCCATGCACTGGGGGACAGCAGGGCACAGGATGTGTGCACTCATGCACTGAACTGACCTGTTGTGAAAACCCGCAGAAGAACTGGTATAAAAACTGGGGGAAGATGAAACAGACGTTCTGAAAGACAAGGCACAGCCGGCGGTTACACACCCCGAGAGTGGTACCCCCACCCTCGGCCTAGTGAGCTGTCCTCACCAACTGCCCCTCCATGGGGGCCTGACCTAGGCGGCCCCAGGTTCCCCAGGGTACTGAGGACGGGCTCGGGAAGTCTCCCCTCGCCTCGACGGCAACGAAGATGTCTGCGTTCTGGGTGGGGGCCAGAGACAAGGCACAGGGGATGGGCGAGTCAGACTGCAGGAGGGCAGCGGAGGCCAGAGCCACCAGGACAGGGCCACCCACAGGCAGGGAGGACGTGAGATGCCCCACAGCATCCACAACAACCCCTTCCTGTTGGACCACGTTACACTCGGGCAGGTGAGGAAGCTGCTGAGGTCTGCTGCAGTCACCAGGCTGAGCCGACCCCTTCTTGATGGTGACTTTGTTTTCAGATGAGTGACCCCTGGCGGCATGGCGCCACCCCGAAAAGGTCATACACTGTGTGAAATGCACCACACGCCACTGAGACGGGCACGGAGCGATGCCTCCTACCTTATAAAAGAAGTATTGCACAAGCTCAGAAATCCTAATGTAATAAAAATGCCCATGAACGAGAAGCATCTTCTTCAAATGCTTGAATTTTGGGATTGCATAGTCGCTGTTCCTTGCAGCCTGCCGGCCTTCCTTCCCAATGACACCTACAAGGAAGAGGGATGAGTTTTGGGGGTGGCTGCTGCCGGGTGTGGCCCAGTCTCAGAGGGCAGCCTGAGGGTGCTCTGTGTGCTGTGACACTGGCCTGCCCCGGTGAGGAGACTCAGAGGGTCCCGGGATGTGCTGGCCCCACCTGAGTGGCCGTGGCTCACCTATGCCCACGTGGGCCTCCAGGATCATGCTGACATCATTGGCACCATCACCGATGGCCAGCGTGATCGGGTGCTCTTTGGAAAATTTGATTAACTTAACAATCTGGAAAAGAAAAACACAGGGTCCATCTTCACTGTTCCATTTCTGCTGGTTAGTTCACTCGGCAGAACTAACAGACACCGACCGTTAGTCTAAGAAAGGAAGAACAGATTGCTTAGTGCTAACTTTTGACACTCATCTGTTCTTCTACACAGGATAAAATCTGCTTTATATTAAAAGCCAAGCCAAGCAAAGTAGAAGTCACTAAGCTAGACCACATTGACCTGGAATAGCTGCCAGGCACAGGCACCGGAATATTCGTGGATTCACTATCCGGGAACAGAGGGTACACCACATCTGCGAGAAGGTTTGTATCACGCAGCTATGTTCTGAAATAAGCAATTCCTGATGCTACTGTAATCTTCAAATTTATCATGTGTGAAAAATAAAATCTAGCAACTTAATAGAATAATTTCCAAGTTTTCAGTCCAGTTCTTTAGTTTTTTCCCCACGCACCTAAGTGTATGGGCTTAGGATGTTTGGCTGTGGAGACAAAATCGTGTGGATTGTCTCCTTGCTTCAACAAGGAGGCTGGGAAAAGTGCCAGTTTTTTTTTGGGGGGGTGGGGAGTAAATTCATTAAACTCTTCTAAGATCAGCTGAGAGCTTAAAGAGTACAGTGCTGCTCTGGAAGTCACTTTGGAAGGCCCTCACTCTGCAGGACACACAAGAGGCAGAGCAGGGATGGACCCGCTGTGTCCCAAACAGGAGGTGTGTGAACTCCAACAGCTGCCTGGCACCCACTTCCGTCCCTGACCTGTCGGCACAGCACACCTGCTCATGGGCTAAGATGGCCTCTGAGGTGTGTTTCACCCTCACAGCCAGGCCAGTTCCTCTCATGAACAATTCAAAGTCAACTGGCCTCCTGTACCTAAAATGTGCTACCATGGAGTCGGCTGTCTTCCAGGCTGGGAAGACACCTGTCTTTATGTGTCTTTATGCCCATCAAATACATTTTCCACAATGCATTTAAAGTATTTAAAAAACCACTGCAAGTGTGTTTCCCAGAGCACGGGATGCGGGGAGAACATGAAGGTGGAGCCTGGCAAACGAGAGAAACATCCCACCTGCCCCCCGCCCCCGCTTGCCCTGGACAAGGCCCCTCAATGGGCAAGCCTGGAAACCCCAGGTGCCTACCACACCTAGGCCAAGCAGGGCACCTGCAGGTGGCACACAGCAGGGGCTACACGGATGCCAGCCTTCCTTAGGAACAACTGTGACAATGTCGCTCTGCATCCAGGAGCCAGGACCTGGAGGTCACACCTGAGCCTCACTGTGGCTGTGGGTGACTTAAGGTCCAAGCTTTAAATCTCCATCAGTTTTCCACAAGGTGCCACCTCACTGGACCTAGGCTCAGGCTGCAGCACCTCACGAGGGTCCTCCCGCACCTCCCCACCCGAGACGCAGGCAGGACCTGGGCCTTCTGCAGGGGCGCCATCCGGCAGCACAGCACGGCGCTGCAGTTCCGGCAGATGTCCAGGAAGACCTCGCGGTAGTTGGCAGAGCTGCCGTCTTCACGGGGCTTCATGATCAAGGACAGCGCTGCTCCGTCGATGATGAGCCCGTAATCGTGCATGTCTGTGGAAAGCCTGCAAGAGGACACAGCCCAGAAAGGTCGCTTGGTCACCAGGTCTGTGTTCGGGGACACTGCACCTATTTCTGGGCATCTAGAGATGTCATGGACCTGTGCAGTTAAGAAAGCAGTACTTCTTGTTCCATTAACATGACCTTTACAACACTGGCTTCACAGCTTTGACCACACTCAGAAATTGTGTCTTAATCAACACATATGGAAGTCGAGCGCGCAGCTCTCTGGATTGGCGTGTGGGTTCCAGCACTTCCGGGGGGTGAAGGAGGGTGTACCTGGCAGGCGGGGTCAGCCTTTACCCTGGCCCTTCTGACCTTGCAGCTAACTCACAGTGCCGCCCTGCTATGGTGCCCAGGTTCTGCCTGTATGGCCTGAGCCAGTAAGAACACGGTGGGAATTTTCTCTTTGCCAGGCTTGGAGATGACCAAGAAACGTCTCTAACCCTGGAAAGAAGTTCTGTGGCTCAGGCAGAGAGAACATCCTCATACCATTCGGGAATAGTCTCAAACGTGCTATGATTCGAGAGCAGATCTTCTTCACCCACATGCATGAGAATCTAAAGGCACCCAGATGCAACCTCGACAGTCAACAAAGGCAAAGATGGCACCGGAAAAACGAGTCCGAACAAACTGCAGATTATTCCAGGAAGGAGGCTGCCCATACACGGCTGGCCCAGACCAACCCCTGCACTGTTAGTATCTCCCTCCATGGCAACCCCAGGCGCCCCTCTTAGAATCACCAGGAAACACCCAGCTGCTCGGGCCTTTCTGCATCCTATACTCAGCAGTGTGAAACTGCGTGCATACGTGTGCAAGAAGACATGCCCTGCCCTGGGAGGAGGCCTGGGGGCCTTGTTCGCGTGTGTGCTGGCCTGGGGAGATGCAGCAGGCTCCCTGAGGACTGAGTGGCCCAAGCCTGACTCGGGGAGTGAGGTGCGACCCACCCTGAGAAGTGGTCCCGGGTCAGGCTCCCGCTGCAGCGCAGCACGGTCTTGCTGAGCTCGAAGAGCACGTCGTGCAGGCTCTGCTCCTCGATCCTCTTGGTGGTCAGCTCCAGCAGCTGCGTGCCCCTGCGGAAGAGCCTGCAGGCATAGCAGGTGGCAGCTGCCGTCTCCATCTTGTCCCCCGTGAGGACCCAGACTTTGATACCGGCTTTCTGCAGTGCCTCGATGGTGTCTGCAGCTTTCTCCTGGAGTCTGCGAAAAAGAAACCAGCCAGGCACAGCAATCAGGGCTGGTGCACCCAGTTGAGAGACGATGATGTCAGAACCTCGACGCCTTAAAATTAGTTTACAGCTGGGCATAGTGCACACACCTGTAACCCCAGCACTCTGGGAGGCTGAGGCAGGAGGACTGCAAGTTCAAGCCCAGCCTGGGCAACCTGGAGACATCCTGTCTCAAGGAATAATCAAAGGTCTGAGTACGTGGTTCAGCATGAGGGTCTTGAGTTCAAGTTCAATGCCCAATACTGAAAAATTTGTCTCCCAAAGTTAGAAAGGCAGATGCTATTGGCTCGGGATCCCAAAGATAGGAATTGATGCTTGACAACATGCTGTACCCGGGTGGGAGGAGGAGGAGTGGCCGAGGGAGTGACCACCAGGTGATGAACACCTGTGCCCTGTCCAGCGGGGACTCGCTATGGGGAGAGGCTTTTAGGCAATTCTAAGAATCACCCTAACCCACAAAAGGCCTGATGCAGGGATCGACGGGATCATTCTTTCTGTGGTATAAAATGCTCTGGATCCGCAACTTACCAAGCCGGAGTCACCCACTGGATGTGTGTCTGTTCTGCCCACATTCCCAAGAATCTACAACCACCCAGGCAGACCTCATCCCCAACACGGCAGCTGACTTCACTCGGCAAGCACAGCCCCGAGGAAATGAACCGGAGTAAATGCCGGGTCTCCCATGGAGGTGACTCCGGGCCCCTCTGGGTCTGAACACATGGAACCCTGTGACTGCTGGGGCTCCGCAGGCTCACCCGTGCCCTCGAGTTGGGAGGTGCAGGTGTGTGGCCTCTGTCTCCGTGACAGCCCGCAGGCCCGACTCACTGTACGTAGCCAGCTTGGTGCAGAAAGCCCAGAGCTTGCCTGCCAGGTCAGGCGCTCCGCTCAGTGTCAGTGTCCCTGTCGTGGGGCTGTGTCTCTTGCTGCCTGTGTGGGGTGCATCTCTCCGGACTGGGGAGACTGCCCCCTAGGGGTGGGAGGGTTCCTATGAGGTGCTGGAGGAAAGGGGTTGAAATTCCAACCCAGATGACTCAGTGGATTCTGGGAGGAAATTCTGGCCCTGCAGTGTCAGGACCAGAATGCTGCAGAATCTAGGGAAGGAAGATCCACCTCTGATTCTGCAAAAGGGACTCCGAGGTCCAGAGGGGTTTGCGGGTACGCTCGGCAGGGCTTTCAGGGAAGTAACTCGCAATCCACGGTTGCCACTCCTGTGCCCAGAAGCCAGTCTCAAACACTGGGTCCCACTGGGGCTGCGTCCACCTGTCGGTCCCACCAGGCTCGCATACATCTGCTCTGTGGGCCCTCACTGGGCGGCCTCCCTCAGTCCCCAAGACCCTTGAGGATCAGTGCCGCTGTCCTCAGCTGACAGTGTCCTGCTGAGCCCCTCCTCCGGATGATCAGTCCAAGCCTGTCTGGTGTGCATGTGGGTGGCCAAGTCCTCAATCTGGGCTGAACGAGGGAACGGGACCTAAACAGAGCCCCATCAACCAAACCCAATCTCCCCTCTGCCCAGTTCCCACTCAAGCTGAGGGCCTGGGATGTGGTTTAGGGCCCTGGAATGGGGCTTGGAGAGAACTTAGTGCTTGGGTCTAAGACATCACACTTTTAGTGCCAGCCCCGTCCAGCGGACAGACGCTCAGCACCTTGTCTCAAGTCCCTGGTCACAGGTGTCAGCTGGGCATGACTTCTCTTCTTCATCATTCAGTGTGGACAGGAGCCCCACCCTCTGCGCTGAACCTCGGATAACTCAGTCCTCTCTGTGCAACTGGGAAACTAGAAGCTCTTTCCCTGGAGCCTGGGAAATCTGTGATTGGTAATTTCACCCCTGTAATTCCCAGTTTTTACAATAGTCCATTGAGTTCTTTCAACAAGCCATGGTGTATGTGTTGAGGATATTAAGACCTAAAAAGCAACTCCTGCATTCAGAAGAACTAGCAAATAACTCAGGAACAGGATTAGCTGCTGACTCCACCCTAAGGGATAATTTAAAATGGTATGTCTTGACTCTTCCTAGCGTGGTGTGAAAATAATTTCTACTGGAAAGTGCGATTTCATGTGTTGTATCCACGGACTTGGAGACACCATGAACCGTGACCTCCGGGCCATCAACGCCAGGCACGCAAGAGGACAGAGCAGTCTCGCTGTAAGGCGTCCTCCATCCCACCCCGGCCCTCGCTGTCCCCACCCCAACGTGTGGTCCTCACCGGTCCTCCACAGCCGTTGCACCCAGCAGAATGAGGTCCTTCTCTATGTGCTCGTAGGCCTCGGCCAGCTTCTTCTCCCGGTCCTGGAGCGCCACCCTGGCAGCCTGCAGCAGCCCGCAGACAGCCTCGTACTCCTCTGGGGCGAGCCTCTTGTAGGCCACACACAGCGTACGCAGCCCCTCCTGCCAACACAGTGCGGATTCCGCATCACCTGCTGGAGTGCTGTCTCAGTGCCCCCACGAGCCGGAATGGAAAGCCGAGAACTTAACCCAACCAGCCCCTTACCACGGAAGCATCAACGCCCACATTAATGCAGATTACAGAAACCTGGAGGAACTACTATCCCAGGGCCCTCACCCAGAAGACAGAATTGCTGCTCTACCCTAACAAACGCGACACTGTTACACCCTTGTGCAGGATAGCAATGTCCCGTTTTATCAAGCGGTTTCCTAAGGCACAGGTGCTGTGTGGGCTGCTGGTTCTTGGCACTCAGTGCAGGACCCCAGGGAGCTACTGACCAGGGTCACTGGGTGTACACGTTTCTCTCGGGGCACGGGGCAGCTGTTCAGTCTGTGCTGCCACACTGGACCCTTCTGTCAGCTTGGACAGCTCACAGTGCCCGTCCAGGGTGAGAGAATGGACACACTGTGGTCCGTCCACACCATTTCCCACCACCCAGGAGAAAAAGGATCAAACATGGGCACCCACACCTATGTAGGCAAATCTCAAAACAGCTGTGTCCAGGGAAAGAAGCCACCTGAATACTACATGTGAGAGTGAGCCTCAATCTACCATGACAGCAAACTGAGCAGAGCCTGTGGTGGGGCAGAGGGCCTTCCAGGGAGGGGACGGTGGAAGGGCTGCAGGACAGCCAGGGCAAAGCTGTCCCCATGCATACACAGGTCTCAGCTCACAGACTGCTAGGCCCCGTTCTGCACAGGCTCATGTAGGCCAGTTACAGCTCAGCAGCGCTTCTTTCTTTTAAAAGGCAGATGCACTTAAAGTCATCCTGGGGAACACACTGCACGCCTCCACTCTCTCCAGGAAACGCGCTCCCTCTGATCAGCAGGGTGGTGCCCTCCAGAAGGCCCGCAGGGCCAGAGGTGCTGTCCCTCCTGGTGTCACTCGGGGTGACCCCAGCAGGAGGGCATGGGGCGCCCCAGGTCTCCACAGGAGACCTGAGCAGCAGGATTTCAAAGATTTGGCCCCAGCCGGTTCGGGGAGGTCCAATGTGTTTGTGGAAGGGCCCCTGGGGGACCACAGTGACACTGCGCAGAGAATGTTTGTGTTTGGGGCTTTAGGAACCAAAGCAGGAAGGTGCCCACTCCCAGGCCATCGGCATCCCCATTCCACCCTTTGTCACTGGGGCCGTGAGGACCCAGGAAGGCTCGAGGCACCAATGGCCCAGTGGACGGAAGCGAGGCCTTCCATGCAGGTGCTGGTGGACAGCAGGCATAGCACCCTCTAGTGTTGGGAGGCCAGACCGCCACAGAAGAGTGGGGATCCAACAGCTGCTCCTCACCACGGCGTTGCGCTCTACCCGGGACCGGATCTGGTCCACTTTGCCTTCGATCACTCGAGGAAAGATGGAGGAGTCTGCTCCTTTGCAGAACAGATAGATTTCCCCTGCCAAACAAGAAAAGCCAACACCTGGTCACAACCTAGGGAGAGTGAATTATGTTTCAAATTTCGCTGTTATTAAAAACCCAAGCCAGAAGGGCAGCACGGGGACATAGGAGGTGATGGGAGATCTGACCTGCAGACGCCTGGTGCCCCATTTTGTTCCTACAACCTGAGACCAAGGGTTGGGCCAGGGGCTAGGCCGCTCCTGGGGCACAAGGCATGGGTGCATGGTGACCAGGGGTGGCACCTTGCTGAAGCACGGGAAGGCAAGCCTAGGCCGTTCCAGACAGCAGTGCTGCGTGTGGAGACAGAGCAGGACTGTCCTCCGTGGGAGGCACCGAGGGTGGCAGGTGAGTCCTGGCTTGGACAACTCCGGGTGGGCACAGGGAGGCACAGCCCCAGGCGATGCCCGGGACAAAGGCCCAGCGCTCAGTGTATGCCAGGTGTCCACTGTGCCTGTCCCCAGATCCTGGGAGGCTCCACACCCGAGAGGTGCAAATGGGGAAAACCCGAAACCCGGATGTGACCCTTGCTCTAGATGACACGGTGGGGTCACGATGTCAGCCATGATGATGTAGTCCATGACATTGCCAGTAGAAGCCATGCTGTCACGATGTCACCTATGGCCCGAGGGACAGCGCTGGGCATCGTGGTGCTGGACAGACTTAGAGCAGTGACCTAAGGATGCAGAGGTCCTGGCCCAGGCGACCCTGCAAGGCCACAAGTTCAGGTCCCTGGTCACTCGCCTCTCGGGCTGACTCCAGTGTCATCTGCTGCTGGTGTCACTTGCAGCTGGGGCTGGGTCATCAGCAGATGGCACATTCTTGCTGTACGGCCCCTGGTGCATGTTGGTGGCCTGTGCATCACTCAACCTCCCTATGGCCTCTGCTTGCCGACCCTCTGCAGTCACAGTGAGACTGCAGGCCGGGAGGACCAGGGTGCAGGACTGGTCAGAGCTCAGGGTGGACGCAGCTTCCAGATCACAGAGGCGGTGTTGTGGCTGAGGAGCAGGACACCAGCGCGCAGCAAGGGGACGTGCGGCCATCCCTGCCCTGGCGCGCTCACGTGTCACTGTGGAGGGCGTGGCCACTGCAGGGGCCCTTGGGCATCAGCACTTGGGTCTTCCATGAACGTGCAGCTGAGTGACCGACCTGGCGTGTCTGTCCCCAAGTCCACGTGGCCAACCCTGCGGCCACACCATGGAGGGGCAGACGCCGGCAACGGTCTCTGGGGTCTGGGCCGCCCCAAGATGGTGGGGTGGGGTCCAGCTCGGCTGGCCCCCATTTCCACCTCTCACGGGGCCATGGGACTGGGCATCACATGTGCCTGGGTTGCGCTGCCCCGAAGGACGCCCAGCTCAGTCCCGTGTGCAGTCGTGGCTCGGAGCTGGCCCGGCTGAGGCCCCCCAAGGGCGCCACTCCTCTGAGGCCCGGGGTTGGGCCTGCAGTTCTGCAACACCGCCCGCCCTGGTGCTGACATCGCGTCTCCCCACGCTGCCGCAGAGGCTCGCAGGACTTGGGGAGGTCCCTGCCACAAGGCCTCTGTGACCCCGGGCCCCAGGGACAGTGCAGCACGGCCTGCCTGGAAGCAGCTGTCATCCCCAGGGCAGGAGTGGTGCTGAGAGCGGCTCAGCAGGTGTCACGGGAGGAGGGGCCCGCGGCACGTCCCCCACCCAATGCCTCCGCTCGGCCCTGCCCAACAGCACGGGGTAGCAGGCCAGCGCCCACCAGGACAGGGCAGTGTGGCCACCTGCCCCCACGCAGCTGTCAGCATCTGAGCCTGTTCTCAGACACCATCCTGCCGACCCCAGCCAGGCCGCCAGAACCTTCTTCACAGGTAACAACATGCATCAGCTCTCTCTGTCCTGTGCCCCACGACCTTCAGTGCACATCGAATCAGCCTGGGCTGCTTGTCCCTCACACTGGTGGTCCACCTTAAGGTGATTCTGTAGGCTCAGTGGGAACGGACTTGAGACAGATGGCAGGTTCCCTAGCAGCCACAGCAATCTCACGAGGCTACTGAGTCAACAGAGACACACACACAACACTTTACTCCTGGGCAGCAGGCCACAGGATGTTCCAGTGGTGTCTTAGGAGAGGCCAAGGCCTGGGCCCGATCAGAACACCTGGACGGCTCTGCTTAGGAGACTCCCTGCCTCTTTTGTGTCGATGTAACTTCTCTCAGCAGCAGGCCAGGGGCCTGGCTGGTGCTGAGCTCTCTGAGGTCAGGTCTGTTTAGTCCAGGGCTTCCAGGCATCTGAGCACAGGTGGGAAACCTCACGCTGCATGCTGGGCTGGGGCAGGGTTCCCCCGGACAGCCAGTGGCCTGGCATGGTGGCGAACCCTCCAGACATCGAGGAGCAGATTTGGCAGGGATGGGGCAGGTGGGGCAGCCACAGCACATGCGGGGCTCACAGAGGCCAGGAGCCACTGCACCCTGACTGGCCCGCACCCCATCTGCCGCTCTCAGCAGACCTCCCTGACGATGGCGGCAGCCGACGGCAGAGCTCTGTGCTCAGCGCCTGAGAGGTCTGCAGCCAGCCCTTCTTCCCTTAGACAGGGCAATTAAGATACACATGCAGCAGGAATGAGGTGAAACATGCATTTTTCACCACGAAATGAGTCCAACTCAACAGCAAGGAGAGTGTCCAAGGGTGTGCAGCCTTGAACTCAGACCTTCAAGTTTAAAAACATTTAGCGTCTCAACAATGGCTCTATATATGCTGGAGGAAATAAACCCTCGGAGCTCCTACGCCACCAGCCATCAGAGTTAACTCCCACCACGCAGGACTCGGGAAGCCTCTACCTGTGGCGGACCTGAGGATGACGCTCATCCTCCTCCTCACAGAGTCGAAGCTCAGAACGTCCAGCAACTCGAACCTGGGAAGAGAAGCGGTGAGCTGCAGCCTCTCTGGGCTGGGGTCAGGCACGGAGCTGGCTGGCCTCCTTTCCCTCCGCCCCATCCTCGAGCAGGCAGCTGTGGGCTGGCCCTGTGCTGGCTCTGCTCCTCGGAGGGCAGCGGGGCGAGTCCAGGCACTGCCGGACTTGGGGAGACTCTGGCACACCTGGAGTCTCTCTGCAAGCTGCAGTTTGGGCCTGAAGAGCCCAGGCCCAGGTGGCCTGGGGTGGCAGCTGCAGTGGCTGTGGGCCTGCATCTCCCCAGGCTCAGTGGACCACGGGTTCCAGGCTCAGCAGCAACCCTGCCACCTGCCCTCAGGAAGCTGGAAGCTTCAACCACAGAGAGGAGTGGCCCGAGGGGCCCTGGTCTGCAGGCAGAGGCCACGCCAGCCCAGGCCAGTGCTGTCCCCAGGCCACTCACCCAGGCGCTCATCTCCAAGAGCGACATTTTAGAATCCAGTTTTCTGAGGCCCTCAATACTCGATCTTCTGTCCGTCACCACCCAGTGTCTATCACTGCACACCTGTGCCCACTCATCACCCAAGCTCCTGAGCAAGACCCAAGATGTGTCTCATCCTAGGGACAAGCACTTGGCACTGAGCTGCCCCTAATATTGAAGCTGGAATTGAAAAGCATAACCATGCATCCACATGGTGGTGCATGCCTATATAATACCAGCTACCGGGAGGCTGAGGCAGGCCAATGGCAAGTTCAAGGCCAGCCTGGGCCATGTAGGGACTTAGTGAGACCTTGTCTTCAGAATAAAAAGCAAAAAGGGTTGGGGTGTTGCTCAGTGGTAGACAGCCCCTGGGCTCAATCCCCAGCACTACATAAAAACAGGGTTGAAAGAAAGGGTAACTGTGTAAGCTTTTCAGAGGACATGGTGTTCCATGACCCAGGACGTTTTATCACATGTGTGGACAGTCACTTTCTCCCTCTGCAGAGCGAGAGGGCCAAGGGTGGGCAGAACCTTTTAGAAGCTTTGAGTGGGGAGAATATTCTGGAAGAGTGGGGAGAACATTCTGGAAGAGTGGGGAGAACATTCCGGAAGCCTTGAGAACTCCTGAAGCAGAACCCTTTTAACTGAAATGTATTTGATGATAAAGCTTTCCACTGCTGCCAATCCACTGTCCATGGACACCATCAGGAGAACACTGCAGACAGCACCACCCCTTCCCTGCCCACATCCGGTGTCTCCAGAGGGCACACAGCCTTTGGGGCTGTCCCAGGGCAGAGGGGAGCTGTGGGCCTCACCTCTCAATATGGCCGTCCCTATTCAAGATCTCCATGTAGCTGTCTTTCAGCCGCAGGTACGTGAAGCCCAGCCTGCAAGAGCAGACCAGACTGGGTCAGCGTGGCCCAGCCCTCCTCCCACGACCTCGTCCGACCAGGGCCGCTCTCTCCCTGAAGGAAGACTTGGAGCCCTCTTGTCTGCCTGCTGTGACACGGGCCCGGGTGGGGCTCACAGCCTGCAGGACACTCGCCCACAGTGACACCCGTTCTCCCGAGAGCCTGCAGGAGCATGGTGGGCGAGGTCCAGCCACGGAGGGACGTGGCCAGGACTCAAGTGTCTCCAGCCCACGGGCAGTGCTGGTCGCGGCACCACCACCAGGTTGGTGGCGCCTGGAGGGAGGGCCTCCTGCCTGGGCCAGCCCTCGCTGCACCAAGGGCTACCTCTGAGCTGGGCACATGACACCCACTGCCCGTCTGCCTGTGTGTGCACCCGTGGCCCTGTGACCACAGGGGCAGGAGGGACCCCGCACACAGCAGCGGGGCCCGCACACTGGGCCTGCTGGCCATGGGCTCCCCAGCAGGCCCAGGGGTGCATGGTGGGCGGGAATTTCACTCTGGAACCAAGGACGGTTGGTTGGGACAGACCCACCTCTGCACGCCCTCTACCAGCGCCACCTCGTCGGGCGAGGATGAGATGTATACACAGGATTTCCCTGAGTCTGGCGACTTCCTGGGGCCATCCATGTGGTCCTCATCCTTCACCTGCACAGTGTGGCAGAGACAGAGAGCCCGGAAGAAGAGCTCCTCCCGCTCCTGCAGAGTGCAGCACAAAGAGGCGTGGCAGGTCCACGTTAACGGGGGACACGAAGGAGACAACACACGAGGCTTGGGAAGGGCTTGGGAGGCTGGCGCCTCTCTGCCCGGGCAGCCGAGGAGTCTGCGTGGCTCCCTTGTCCTCAGGCACCGCTTGGGGACTCGTGCAGGTCAGCGGCCAATGGGGACTGGGGCAGGGGCGATGCCTTCAGGACCTGCAGGCTCTGAGCGCATGCAGGAACAGCACAGCTCCTCCATGCTCCCCAACACTCAACTCCACTGTTCCCGGCCCTGGACTGTGTGACAGTGACACTGTCCTAACCTCAAGGGACCCTGGTCCCCCCATGAGCCCTGTGTTTGCAGCCTGAAGCTCAGAAGCCACAGAAATTAAAGTTCAGGAAATTGGGCAACATGCCTGCTGTCACAGCAGGCCGTGGACCCAGTGGCTGCCCCCAGCTCGGGTCACTCCATGCGAGCTGCCGGATGTCCAGTGTGCGTGGGACAGCAGGGCAGGGTGGGGGCACAGACACCCGCTGCCCGCTCTGTGTCAGCTGGCGAGAGGCCGATGGCACGCTGTCCATGAGCAGGTGCAGCTGCACAGCCACGGCATGGGCCCCACACACGTTCCAGAACAGTCCCTGGCTTACCAGGGCCCCGGATTGAGCCCTGCCTGGGGCTGAGATGTGTATGTGTGTGGAAGCACTTGTGCCTGCGTGTGCACACGTGGGTTTGCACACTCACAGCACACTGCCTGCCTGGCTGGGGCTCTTAAGAGTCTGGGCTGGGCCTCCCTGGCCACGCCCGTGAGGGGACACGGTGCCCACGCAGCCCCTGACCAGGGCCTCCTGAGGTCCTGCCTTCCCACTCCCTGAGTGCCAGAGCCGTGCACACGCCCACCTCGCGGGAGCTCAGCCTACCCTGCTGCTGATGCCTGGGGACGAGTCGATCATGTCAATGCCTGAGGAGTCGGGCAGCACCTGGCCGTTGCAGATGACGTGGGGCACGTAGACGTGGCCCTCGATGCAGCACTCCTTGAAGGCCATGTTGTTCTCGGTGAGGGTGCCCGTCTTGTCGGTGAAGATGTATTCCACCTGTGGGTACATGTGGGGCGCACATGGCTCAGACCCAGGGCGCCTCACCTGGGGCCAGCCGCAGGGTGTGGCCACCAGGCAGGTGCCATGCGGGGGCCAGGCAGTGGTTTGCATGCCAGGGCAGTGACCTCGGGTGCAGTTAGCACCCCACAGTCTGGGGAGGCCGGGCTGGGGTCATCTGGAATCTCGTCTGACAGCAACGAGAAAGCAGATGAGGGGAGGCTAGACGTCCTGGGCACCACAGCTCATGAGGCCACGTAAGGCACAGAGGACAGAACCTATCTCGAGAGCACAAAGTGAACCTCAGGAAGACACTGTGGAAAGTGGGGAAGCCACACAGGGCCGAAACCCTACACCCGGGTGAGGCCCAGGTTACACAGCAGGAAGGAGCCAGGTCCCCGGCCCAGGGCAGGGCCAGCCGTGCTTAAGAGGGAACGCAGTGGGGCGCAGCGCACGCTCTGTGGGTGCCCCTCCCATGTGAGTCTGTGGGGAACGCGCTCTCAGAAACCCACGGCTGACCACGCCTTCCACTGGGTGCCGGCTCTGATGCCTGACCAGGGGCACTCAGCAGTGCTGCCTGAAGGCTCCACTGTGAACACAGCCCCCACTGAGACCTGTCCAGGCCCCGCAGCCAGGGCAGGGGCACGTCCACTAGGCCCCATGGGCGGCAGGCACGGGGAAGGAAGACGCGTTGGCTGGCCTAGGTGCGACTCAGTCTCCCCAGCTGGGGGCCCCCGGTCGGAGAAAGGGCTGTGTGCGAGGCACTGAGGCACGTTCTTACACAAGCCAGGATGCAGCTGGAGTAAGTTACACTAAGTTCCAAAACCACGTTTACAGGTAAAATAGATGTTCGGAAGTCTGATTTATCAGTTTGCTCAGCACCAGCGCCACAGTGGTGTATTTCCATGGACTTTGACCATGGCAGCTGAGCATGATAAAAACCGATCCTAATGCGTTTCTCAAGCGCGCTGCAGGTGCTGGGCACTGCGAACGACCTCACGGATTCCATGCCGGCCGCAGTGTCGTCCCAGCCTCACCAACACAAACAAGGGCTTGGAACTGGACGCGAAGCCAGAGGGTTCACCAGGGGATGCTGTTGTCTTGCTGCTACTGAACAAGTTTGTTGGTCTTTGATTTATTCTTCAGACTGTTGATGTTTAGAAATGCCACAGGACTTTTATGTGTGTTGATTTTATGTCCTTCGACTTTCTTGAATTTATTTAAGTTTCTGGTGGAGTCTTTTGGGTTTTCTATGGAAGAGACCACGTCGCCTGCAAACAGGGACAGTTTGACTTCTTTTGTTCTCTGGATTCCCTTCCTTCCTTCCTCTTTCTCTTGCATGACTGTTCCAGGGAGAGCAGCACCCTCATCCTGGCCCTGACCCTCAGTTTCTCCACTGCCACACTCAGTGTTCACCGCTCACCGTCTGTGGAACAGTCCTGCTCCCTAACACATGAGGGAAGGACGTCAATTCTGGCTGTGTCTGCAGTGACCTCAGGCTTTTCCCTTCTTCCCAGGGATGTGATGCATCACACTTATCCATCTGGGGGGTCGCCAGTGACATCAAGTTTCCGCACCTGCACCCCAGGGACATCGCCTGTGATTTCCTGCCAACCCCAAGTCGGACGGTAGTGGGCACTGCTGCTGGCCTCAGCTCTGGGGACAGACAGGCATCCCCAGTGCCAGGCAGTCTGCTTGTTCCAGGCCCCACAGCGTGACACACATGGGGGAGGACCCAGCGGGAGGCAGCGCTGCCCCAGGACAGCCACGGCCACACCCGGCTCACCAATGTGGCTGTGAAAGCTTTGGGGCCTCAGCCCCTCCACTGAGGAGCGGAGGGGACACCAAGCTCCGGGGCACAGAGGGGCCACATCAGAATGAGCACCGGAGCCTGGGCAGGGGGTGTCGCTGAGTTGTGGACAGAGACATGAGGGCGTTCTTGCCTCCTGGGCAGGAGACGCAGCGCAGGCTGTCCTCTGGGTGATAGCGCGCCTGCCACCCATGCCCACTGGGGGGCGGGGACCCCTCATGCTGGCCTCAGTGGCCCTGGTATCCCCATATCACTGCTGCTCAGAGCTGCCTGGCCACAGTCTGGCTGTGCCCAGGGCGATTGACAGGGACCACAGCCTGCCAAGAGCTCCAGGTGTGGCCTCCCTCCTCCCCCTTGGGCAGAGACCACTTCAGCGAAGGTCTCGGGAATCACACAGAGGACCCCCACAGCTGCAAAGGACATGGGCAAGGCCCTTGAAGGTGTAACGCCCGGACAGCTCAACCGTGATCCAGGTGGTGCTCAGGGAGGGAGGGAGGGTCAGCCCACGACAGGCAGCTCGATCGCAGCACCTGGGCTCTCCATGCTTGGGCTGGTGACGAAGGGGCGGTGGCAGCAGCCATTGACCAAGGGGCTCCCCCACAACGCAGCAGGGCCACCCTGAGGCAGGTAGCAGGAAGGAACCATCCTTCCTGAGACACCCTTTGCCGGTGATGGGTCTGGGTGCACATGGGGTCTGTCCTCATGCTGGGGAGGCCTGGCAGCCACAAGGTCCACACCTCGGCTGTCCCTTGACCAGCAAGGCAGGCATCTGCTGACCCCCCACTTCATGGAGGGGAATGGGTACCAGACGCCCTTCATGCTGCAGGAATGAAACATCACGTACAGAAGCAGAGCAACTCCTGCAAAGCAGGTGCTTGAGGAGGCAACCTCAGTGTCACCCTCAGACCCTCAACTCCTGCCATGAAAGCACAGAGTGGGGAGGAGCTTAGGTGAGTCCCCTAATGCAACTCAGTATAAAGATAAAAGCGCTGCCGACGGCTATACAGGTGAACTTTAACAAACTTTGCTGTTGTCTTGTGCGGGTTCCAGCATCCAAATGCACACGGCACAGATGGCCCCCGTGACAGTGACCGCTGGCACCATCGAGGCCTGGGACACGGGGCCCAGCAGTGCAGATACTGACCTGACCCAGCTCCTCGTTCAGGTCCGACGTGTTGACCAGCGGCCCCTCCCCAGTCTCCTCGTCAAACATGTCCTCGTCCCAGGTGATGAAGTAGGAGCCCAGGAACTTCTGCATCTCCACTGTGACGTACATGGACACAGGGATGATGTAGTTGAAGAGGACCATGAAGGCCAGGAAGTCAGTGAAGGCCCTGAGGAACTGAGAGAGCAGGGTGTGTCGCAGGGCGCGCCACACGGGGACCCTGAGTGCCAGGTGCAGACGTGGAGAGTCCACGCTCCCGGCCCGCCCGGCCCGGCCCGGCCCGGCCCGGCCCAGCCAGGGGCCAAGTGGGAGGGTGAGACAGTTCCTGTTACGAGTCACACTGCTGTGCCAGGAGGCCATGGCAGCGGAGGCCTGAGGGGCAAAGGCCCTTTGGAGTGTTCAGGGCGCATCAGTTACCCTCTGGATCCGACAGGTCACCCGAGTTACTAAGGAACAGCCTGTATGAGGTGAAACCCACAAGAAACGAAGCCCGGCAAAACCAGCTTTTCTGAATAGTTTCATCTCCACTTCTGCAGGGTGCCAGGGCGAGGGGTGGCAGGCTGCTGAGCAGAGCTTGGGGACACAGCCGCCTGGCCTCTGCACGCACGGCCCGTGCTGGCGGCACATTGGGCCCTTCTCCCGTGTACTCACCACACTGTGCAGCCATTGTCTCAATGCCACTGGCAAGCATGCGTGCCCTGAGCTCCGTACGAACACTGGCACTGTGCTGGCACAGCCCCAGCCTCTCCTGCGGGACCCGCCCTTCCCTGCACACACACAGCTGGCAGCGGGAGCAGCTGGCACTCTCACGCTGGGCCTGAACGCCCACAGGCAGGGCTTCCTGTGCCCAGGTGGCAGCCTTTGCTCCCACCTCCACCTGGCTGCCGCCCTCGTCCGTACCAGGTTCCTCTGCCTCTCCGACTCGGTCTTCTGGTTGTACCATGGCTCGTCACGGAAGGGCTCGCTCTGCCACACGTACTTGAGGGTGGTGTTGATGAGCGCCTTGCTGATGAGTATGCAGAGGTACACGATGAGGAACACATTCATGGACCTGGAACGGGACGAGAGCTCGCTCAGCAGTGGCCCTGAGCAGTGTGCCCGGCCCGTCTTCTTGCCGGTCATGGCCAGCCTGAAGAACGGGGCTGGCACAGCGCTGGGTCAGGGGCAGGGCCCACCGGGCACCCAGGGAACTGGAGCCAGCTCCACGGCCACTGACGGGATCCTAGAGGCCACGGGCACCAAGCCAGGTGCAGGGAGTTCTGCACTCTGCTGGCAAGCATTCCCACTGGGCAGCCCCACCATGCGGGAGCAGGCCGCGGGGGTTATTCCACCACTGAGCAGCACAGGCGAGCCCGATGGTGATCCCCATGGTGAGGAGGGAGGGAGACAGGGAGAGAGGAGTCTGGAGGGTTGTGGATCCTGGTCACGGTGGCGGTGGCCTGGGGGTTGTTTCCCACGCTCTGTGCAGAGACCACGGGACACAAGGGGCTCCTGTCATGGAGCTCAGTGCACTGCCACACTCGACAAAGCCGGTGGGCCAGAGACCCAGGCCACGCTTCCTGGCTGCTCATGAGGCAGGGATGGTCCACCAGCCTCCAAGAGGTGGGATGGCCCATGGCCCTGCCCTCTGGGGCCTGGGCCACATGCTGCCGACTTGAGGCAAGGCTGCTCTCAATAAGGAGCAGCAGAAATGGAACCAGGCCGTGATTCCAGCCCAAGGTTCAGCCTGTCCCAAAGATCTGACTGCTTCATGGAGAGGTGACCATGCCCTCTGCTAAGATCTTGGGAAAATCACATGAGAACACATGGCTTCCACCCAGGCCCAGCGTCAGAAGCAAGCATGCTGAGATTTCATGAAGTGGGGGGCCTGGAGCTCCTGGAGCAGGACCTCAGGGAGGGGCTTAGAGACAGCACGCAGGCACAGAAACTGCGGTAGGAGGTGTACCTGTCACCCCGCCCCAAGCCAGAGAGCCCCCCCTGCCCCGGCTGTCAGTGGTGCAGCTGTGGATCCCGAGTCTCGGGACGCCTCAAAGGGCCAGGCCCAGGAAGGGCCAGGCCCAGGAATCGCTGCCGGGCTTCATGCCACCAGCTGTCCCTTCCACAGAGGGGCAGGGGCCTTACTTCTCCACAGCAGATCGTTTCTGGGACTTGGACTGGTAGTTCAAGGCCATCTTGGTCTCCATTCCAGTGTAGATGGCCACCCCTGAAAGCAGAAGGGACATGTGATGATGGTGGACCCAGAGGTGCCGGCCCATGCATGAGCAGCACACGGGTACACCCAGCACCCACGTGTGAGCAGCACACAGTGGCCAGAAGCAGATCCCTAGAGAACACAGGAGCACTCACAGGAGCACTGCCCAATGCATGCGAGGCCCTCACAGAGGGCTTCCTCCTGCCTGGAAAGCAGCCTACTCTAAGTTCGAATGTCCCTGTCCTGAGCTTCCTCACAGCAGGCCACATGTCTCACCTGAGTAGAGCACAACAAACACCCCGCACATGGATGAGATGCTGGCATGCATGTGCGCGTGCGCGTGCACACACACACACACACACACGCACACACACACACACACGCAGGCCCAAACATTCTAAAGAATGATACCACGACTCTCACGATCTAACTTCCCAGTTCAGGGTCACAATCTGCAGGCCCTCACGAGCAAATCCTGCTCTTAGGGCCCTCCCTTCATGTCCTTCATCCCCTAGCACCCAGTTCTTGGAGGGAAAGTCTGCAGGGCCTCAAGCACCAGCCCAGCCTTCAGGCCCCTTGGAGTCAGCTCTGCTGAGCCCTGGGCTTTGGAGTTCTCGCTCACCACTGGCCGACGACACTCACCGAAGATCCTCTCAGTGTTCTTGAGCGTGGCTCCTCTCAGCAGCAGGTTCTCCGACCCCAGTGGCCTGTGGGGCGACCAGAGCGGCGTGATGATGCAGCGCAGGGCAGGATCCATCCAGCCAGGGGCCCCAGGACACCACCCGACAAGGGCACGCCGGGACCAGCGCAGTCCTGTTAGAGCTGCGGGGTGCAGGCCCTCTCTGGGGTGCGGGGCTCGCTGGGCCCCACTCTGATCTTCCTCTCTCAAGCCTGGAGCTGCACATCGGGGTCTGAGGTGGCCTCCAGAAGAGCTGGACCTGGCCCCCGACCCAGGGACTGGATCCCACGTGTTCCAAGGGTGTCCCCACTAAAGCCTCTGAGGTGGGGTCCCTCCGGTGAGGTCCCCCCAGTGCCACCAGCAGCGCCTTGGGATGTCAGAAGTGTCACCCCCAACCGCGTGCACCAGAGACCCTGGGCAGGGCCCAGCAACTCTCCCTAAGCCTCAGCCCCAGGACGGCTGTGCTGGGGCCCCAGAGTACTCGGGAAGGCAGAAGGCCCGAGTCTCTCACTGGCCAGCAAACCCAGGCCCGGCCCTGAGCTACATCCCCAGCCCTTTTCATTTTCACAATCTTGCTAAGTCGCTGAGCTGTCTAGACTGAGCTTCAAGTTGGGATCCCCTGCCTCAGCCTCCTAGAGCGTGGGGCACCAGCAGTCCCGGCGCAAAGGCCCGAGTCTCATCCAGCTGCTGGCTGTCTCTGTCACACCTCGTAGGGTCAGGGAGCCATGCAATCACATTACCAGAGATGAAGGTGAGGGCTTCACGGCCTTCGTGGTCTGAGGCTGAGCCCGTTCTATGGCAGGGGACCTGCATGGCTGCTCTGGGGCCCCTAAATCTTTCCCTGAGAAGCCAGCGCTGCTCTAGGCAGTGGCCACAGCGAGCGGTGGACGTCTCTGCTGTCGGGGACCTCTGTCCTAGCAGCTCCCTGGTGCCGAGGCAGCACGACCTCCCACTTCCTAATCACTGGAATGAGACGAAGAATTCAAAACTCTGCTGCTAGTAACATCCACACGATCCCTTTGGAGGATAGTGGGAAAGGCCCTGAAGTTTGCTTTTATTCATGTATTACTTTCCTTTCCTGTTGAGAACCTACTGAGTATTAGGCCCTTAATGTGCATTCAGTGTGTGCAGCAGACACGGTGCAGACTGCGCCCCCTGGAGGCCAGGATGGGAGGCATGGAGGGGAGGGGCTCACAGCTGCTGTCTGGGTCTCACAGCCGCCCCCGGCACCCGGGCCGTCAGCCTCTGTCAGCAGCACGCTTGCTGTAACTCCTGTCACAAGCGTTTATGGAAACAAATGGCCTGTTAGAAATGAGTCCCTGGGAAAGCTAAAAATAATTCACTTGAGAAAATGCCGTGCTTCTGGTCTGGACAGGAGGGAGAAGAAATATTCCTGAGGGGCTGGGAATCTGGATGACGACAATGAAAACTCAGTAGCAAGTGCGCAGACTGTGTCCTGCAAAGTTTCTCCAGACTCACGAGGAGACAAGCCCCGGGGACCAGGGCTTTAGCAGTGGCTCATTTTGTAGTAATTTCCCACTGTGCTTGTACCTAGTCCTGCACAACATCTTTAACACACAACACCACACCAGGGCATGGACAACTTGGAGACTGCTTAAACTGGAAGAGAAATAATTTCTCCAACAAGTGGAGTTTAGGAAAAGGAGCAGCTTCAAAACCTACAAAAGCCAACTCCCAAACTGGAAAATCCACACACCTGACTGGCAGACAACCGCTCCATCCTGAGACACTGTCAGATGGCCACGTGCCCGATCTGGGGCAGGCGGCTCACAGAGGGCGCCCAAGGGAGGTGGCACCGCTCAGACCCGACCTGCACAAGGGTGCTCAGTGCCCAGAGACCCAGGAACCCAGGAGAGGAGAGCCCAGCGCTCCCGGCAGGTGGAGCTGGTGCTCAGGACCGGCACAGCAGTGATGGAGGAGGACGCATCAATAAGGAGCCACCTTCCACTTACTTACCTCACCACGGGGTCGCCGAGGTCGCTGTAAACATTGATGCGCCCAACAAACCTGTGGGGGAGAGCCGGTCACAGGGTGCGCCAGCAGGTGCCCTGCCTCCTGAAGGGGGCCTCTCTCGGGGCAGGGCTAATGCGCTGACACCCCGTCCACCGGGGTTGCTTTACTTTCTGTTCTCCCAGCCCATGGTAAGTGACTCACTTACACCACAGTTTACAAATGGCTTCCTCAAAACAAAGAAGCCCCTTTTCTGCAACAGATTTAATCCCATTAAGCCTCGTTAATTATAAGAGGCTATAGATTCCAACAAGGATGGTCTGTCAACATGCCTGATGTCGCCACGTCCAATTGGGCTGAACTCAGCACTGGCCACGCCCATCCATGCGCGGCCCAGCTCCTCACAGACCACGCCCACGCCCATCCACGTGTGCCTGCTTACTTGTAGAGGTCGGGCTGTGGCTGCTCACACTCGATGGTGGCGTGCAGGGCGTCGATGTCCTCCTCAGTGTGGAAGCCCTTTGTGTCCTGGACAGCGTAGTGAGTCTGCAGGTGACAGGAAATGGGGCTCACCCCTGGACTCCACGGGCTGACCAGAGGCCTGTTTCCCAGCACCGGCCAGATGCCCGGACCCACTCTGCTTGCTAAAAGGGAAAGGCAGATCGTCTCACCCCAGTCCTCTCACCGCCAGTAGGACAGCGAAGGTCGGCTCCTTCACAACCAGGCACTTGGGTCTATCTGTCCTGTAGGAGCTACACCAGGGAGCAGCTCTGGGGGCTGAATGCTTCCCTGGCTTATACAGGCCATGGCTGCTGCGGGGCTGCTGGGACTGCTCCTCATTCCGCTCCCTCAACTCTGCCCAGATGGCCCGGCCCCGCGGGCCCAGTGCGGCCCCTGCAGAGCTGTCCGGTGCCTGGACCAGATACCCCGAAGCCTGGCTGTGCCCAGCTGCACACACATCGCATTTCTGAGGTGGGTGGCGGGTGGTAACATGACACTGACCATTGTTTAGGGCCACACAGTGACAGTGCTGGCCAACAGTACCCGTGTGCAGGAACACTGGGCACCGGGGCTGCACCTGCTCTGCTGTGGGAGAGGAGAGGACCTTCGCATAGATCTGGAGGGAGGCACTGGACCTCCGGGTCCCATTCTGTGTCCCATCCCATGTCTCGTTCTAGCATTTGAGTGTGGAACAGAGGATTGAACCCAGGGGGGAGGTGATAGTCTCCCCAGGCACTTAGTGCACATCACAACTTCAGGAAACTTCCTGCCGTCTTCTCCCCAGAGCCCCTGAAGGATGAGTTTGTCCCTGACTTGCAGATATGAAATTCAGAGGGCAGAAAGACTTTGGGTTATATGAGCAGGCTGGGAACCTGGGGTCACTGGGCCCTACGCATGCCCCATAAGCCTCCAGAGTTCCTGCAACTCCATTCTCAGAGCCAGACGTGTGGACCTAACTCCAGAGAACACGGGACGACGCCATGTGGACGGAGAGGCGAGCATGGAGCTGAGACCCTGCCACCCCCAGCTGGGTCAGGGCGAATGCCACAGGCTTTCATTTTGGACAGCGAGGCCCTAGACCCCCGACCCAAGCACCACATGGTCTGGGAGGAAGTGGACAGCAGACTGTGCCCTTGCAGAGAGGGCCTCAGGTGGCCTCAGGGTGCCCTTGGCTTCCTCCCAGGTGTATGGAAAATCCCTGAGGCATGCAGGACCTGCTGTCCCGGAAGTCCTGTCACAACTGCTCACGGCAGAGCACTAATGCTCAAGGGAAGGCGCCACAGGAAAAGGGAAAACACGCTGGGAAAGTGCACAAGCCTTCAGAGCGCTCTGGTGACTTGTAAAGAAAATCCCTCCAGCTCACAGTGGAAACCTTGTATGCCCGCAGGCACCACCAGAGCATCCAATCTGAGTTGCTGATGCTGAAGTCTTGGCTTCAGAAGTCTTGGCAATGGCTGACTCCACTGAGCTGCAGACCCTTTCACAGTTTCCAAGGAAAAATCCAGATTCTTTTAAATATGAAAAATCTTAAAATTAATAGTGCTACATTTTTTTCTCTTCTCATTGAAAGTTTTGTAGGAGCAACTGTCAGTATAGAGCGCCACACTAAGTGTACCAAATTAATTATAGCTTGAGAAGACCCTTCTAAGGCTGTGGATAAAGAACTAGAGGGCTGGGGATTTAGCTCAGCACCGCGAGGTCCTGAGTTTGATCCCTGGTACCAAAAACACCTGGAAGTAATAACCAGGCAGGACCTAGAACTGTGTGACTTTTCATGGAAGTCTTGACTAGGAAAGGTTAATTTTGAACAAAAAAGTGAAGACCTTTAAAATGGCAGTGTCGTGTTCATTAAACCCGATTTGGCCCTAGCCTAGTCACCTGGCTGATGGGGAGGTTACCCTGTCCACTCGAGCTATCTGTTGTCATAGACACTTCAGGTAGAAAGAAGCAGAGGACAGAAAGGCCAGAGCAGAGGGACTGGCCACACGAGCCCCCGCATTCCCTGTGGCCAGGACCTCAGTGTCCCCAGCCCAGCTGTCTCAGCCGCGCTGTGCTGCGTCACCTTATGGCTCGACTCTCCGTCCAGGCTGGCAGTGGTCACGTGGCAGGTCCCGTCAGCCCGGTTGCTGGACAGGAAGATCAAGTCACAGGGAAAGGTCTCGTCTTCCTTGACCATGACGATGTCACCAACCTGTAGGATGAAGACAGCGGGTGGTCAGCTGAGCTCTGCCTCTGCCTCCGAGGGAAAGCACCTGCTGGCAGGGCTACTCCTCCCGACGCATCTGGTCCCCACTCAGACACCAGCACGGTGTTGCTCAGCACAGCACGGGATGCTGATTCCTTCGTGACCGACGCAGGGAGGAGGAGCTTCCCCAATGACAGCGTGCAACAGGCCTGCCAGGCCAGAACTCACCCATCAGAACCTCACTCCTCACAAACAATGAACAGGGACCCGAATGTCAGTGTGAAACTGGGACCCCGAACACCGAGGGCGCAGGAGCCAGGGCTGGGCCTTCCAGGCTGGGCAGGGCCAAGTCACAACACCAAACGCAGGATCCCCAAGGGGAAAAGCACCAAGCCCACGTCATCAAAGCCAAAAACTCCAGCCTGAAGATTGTTACAGCCCACACAGCGGGCAGAGGACAAGAACTCTCCCAGCTCAACAGTGAGAGCGATGGAGGTATGTCACCTGTAAGTACCAACTCCTCTCCACCGATGCTCTCAGTATGCACTGCAAAGGTGGACGAGTAAACATAAAATTAAAGAAAACCGAGGACAGAGAGGGAATCACTGAAAGCATGGATCCATGTGAGTGAAATTCCGAGAGACGGGATCGCGCAGGGACGATAAATAAAGAAGCAAATGCACAAGTAAACATGGCGAAATATTTAAAAGCAAACAAAACTGAGCAGTGAAACAACCTCAGCTAAAGCAGTGGAGAATGGTAACCGACAGGAAGGAGGCTTGGACAGCACTGGGGTGATAGCGGTGCCCAGTGACCAGCCGCGTGGCCAGCCCCGGGAAAGCGAATGCAAATGGCTGAGCTCCTCACACAAGAAGCAGAGGTGCTGCCAGGCGCCAGCCAGGCGGCCTGAGCCACTACTCGTGGGGCGGCTCCTCCTGAGTCTGAAGTGACACAGCACAGCCAGCTGGTCAGCTTGCGGGCTTTTATGCCGCAGCAGTGAAGTCCGTCCCCACAGAGCAGCCTGTGCCACATGCACACGGCAGCCGGAGGGAAACTCCTCGCTGCCCCTCGCCTGTGACCGGCCAGACCATGGGGCCCACATCGGGGACACACTCAGTGGGGTGCGTGCGTGTGTGTGCCGTGACACATGCTCGGTTGTGTGGGACAGGCCTATGTGTCCCTCTGGAAATGACCCAATTCTGGGACGGACAGGGTAGGAGAGAACATCAGGTCTCTGCCATTCCTCACAACCGCAGACGACTCGATGATTATCCAAAATTGAAAGCACAAAAGGAGAACACGCGAAGGGGGGACTTTTATTCTAAGAGTCCCTCGGGCCTGCGGAGGCCAGGCCCGGGCCGCGGGAGCGTAGTGGGTCACGACCTCCAGCCATGGATCCGGTCCCGGGCAGTGCCGCCGTCGCAGGCCAAGGCATTAAGCTCAGGCTGCCGGAGAGACACTGCTTACATCTGTTTCCTGAGAGAGACCCTGGTGGCTAAGCCCAGGAGATGCTACAAAGGGATCACGACCGGCACAGGAACGGCCCAGGCCTCAGCTCTGTCTGCAGGGACATGCTGTCCGCGGCCCGTCTGCTCCCAGCCCTTGCCCCCACGGCCCTAGGAAGCAGCCTGAGCTGGTACAGAGGAAGCTCGGCTGGAGCGGAGCGTAAGGCTCGAGGGGCAGAGGGCTGGGCTGTGTAACCACACGCGGGAGAAGTGGAGGGAGCCGGGACGTACAGGGCGGGCCCGCTGGCCAGGCTGAGGGGAGCAGCGTGTGCTGGGCCGCAGAGGGGCGTCCACACCGGGCTGGGATGCTGCCAGGAGACGCCAGAGGACAGCCCTCCAGTCCGGCCAGCGCAGGCGGGTCCCACTCACCCTCAGCTTGCGGCTCTGCTTGCGTACCAGCTTGCCGTGCTGGATGAAGTGGACGGGACACTGGTTCATGGCGTTGTCAGCTTTGTGGCGGAGCCAGTCTTCATACCCCTGGGACGGAGGGAGAGAGGGGGCCAGGGTTAACTGCCGCAGGGGTCCTGCCTGGCAGGCGGTTGCTCAGCCAAAGCTCGGAGCACACCATGCGTCTTCTCCTAGGCCCCACGACTTGGGGCAGACATTTCCATGGCAGTGCGGGCTGCTGTAAGCTTCTGCAGTCACAGAGAGCTTTCAGAATCATCTTTATAACTGCACTGCTGTGCATGTCCTCAACATGCCCTCAGGATAAATTCCTAAAACGGAACCATCTGGTCTGAGTCAGTGGAGCGAGAGTCGGAGGCTTCTGCCTGGACACGCCGGTCCCCACCCTGGCACCCGCTTGCCCCGCACACTCGAGAGCCAGCCCAGTGGGTCTGCAGAGGCGCCAGCTCGTGAGTTGAGTCCACACGTCCAGGCTGCTCCTGATTGAGGAGACTCAAATCAACATCACGCGACTCTTGAATGCTCCACACAGTTTTGTAGTCAAAAGGATCCAGACCATCTCCCATTGAGGACCAGACTCCCAGGAGGGACGTGGGGACCCTGAGAGCACACGTGCCAGGTCTGCGGGGCCCTGCCCCACATGCTTTAGCATCAAGGCGTCAGGCACCAGCATGCCTGTTGGCGAAGGGCTGCACTCACCCTGGGCCTCACACAGCGTTCCGGGCTTTAGAAAAAAGACTAACAGCAGAAAAACACTGCTTGTTAACAAGAAGGTGACCATCAGAAAGTGATCAGAAGCTGCTGCTCTGTAATTATACAGATGTCTCAAAGGAAGCACTGACTTCTAAACACAAAAACTAACAAGGTTCAACATTTGTTGCAGAGAAAGGACTCCTGTCTAGAGCGCAGGGAGAATCCTACAAGGCATCAAAAACAAATATCACCAAGAAAAACGGGCAAAGGATTTGAAGCCATCTTGTGAAGAAGATGCATGGGTGGTCAACAAGCGAATGAGAAGCTGCAACACATCAATGCACCTGAGAGATGCCAAGGGAGGTGCCAGGCCCAGAGAACCCTACTCCCAGGTAAGGACCCCAAGGCTCACAGTCCTCTCTGTCCGTCCTTAAATACTGCCCACACTCACCTGTCAGTTAAAATGAACATGCAAGTAAATGAGAAACTAGAGAAAACCTGTACACAAATGTTCACCATAACAACCACAAAGCAGAAGTGCCTGACTGCTGGCCCACAGAGGAATGGGTGGACAAGCGAGGTCCGTCCACAGGCCGACTCCCAGTGGTCATGTGGGATGATGCGGGCAGACACTGGGCATTCACTGGGCACAAGGCAGGCGAGCCCAGGGACATCGTGCTGGTGGAAGGACTGGCCTTGGGACATACACGCTGCATGACCCTGTTAGACCCAATGCGCTGCTCAGGGACGAATGCACAGGAGGAAGCAGACTGGTATGCATTGGGGCAGGGAGAGGGGAACGCGGGGGAGGACTGCTGACAGGCAGGGGTTTATCTTGGGGGGATCAACACTTTCTAGAGCTTGGCAGAGGGGAGGATGTATCACTCTGCTGGGGAAAGGGTGGTGAGGAAACCCTGCTCTCTTCAACTCCTGGCTCAGGCTTTATCAGGAATAGAAAACATCCACCCTCCCTCCCAGAGTTCAGCATCCGATCATAACGCATGCCCCAGACTTCTGCAGGAGCAAAGGGGCCAGGCCCAGGGTGTCCACACAGCACGTCTGCGCCAGGGGCCTCCGGCTGGCTCGGGACGTGGAGCCAGACTCCAGCAGCCACCTCTCGGATTGCGGCGTTTTCAGATGTGAAGCCCAGCCCAGCCCACGACTCTGTGGAGCAGCTGTCACACCACTGCCCCGCTCTGACATTGGTGGGCGGTGGCTGAGCTGCCCTCCCTGTCCGTGGACTCTCTCTCACCTGTTTGATGGCTGTGACGGTGATGACGAAGAAGAGCGGGAGTCCGCTGGTCACCGGGCTCGTGGGCGTGTCGATGATCAGCTGTGGAGGGTGTGCAGACACCGTTGGCCAGCGCGAGGCCCTGGCCGGCTTGCACCGCCACCCGCCACCGCTGCTTGCTCCCCGGACTGCGACCCCAGCCGAGTGGAATGGAGCACATCCCCTCATTGAAGGGCGTCATCAGGAAGCCACACTTAGGAAGCTCAGGGACAAGAGTCCGGGCCACTGTGCCTTTCACTCCTACATGCCCTGGGTCACGCTCTGTGACGCTGTTTGGATAATCCAGTGCTGGGGCAGTTTTGAAAAATCATCTCCCATGTCCTTACGATTTAGCAAAACGGGACTGATTGTGTTCTCAAAACACAAGTGCCTATCGCTCCCTAATCCACTCCCCGCCGTGTGCGCTCCATCTTCTCCTTTAAAGTTTGGGTTCTTTGGATTTTCTTGGGAGCAGCCAGACTTAGCAACAGGCTCCACCAGCAGCGGTGAGCCGGCCCTGCTCTTCCTGGGTCCAGGCAGGACGCGGCAGGAGGGTCTGCTCGCACACAGTGGCCGGCTCGAGTGTGCCCGCTGAGGCCCTGGTGCCCACGTGAATAACATGTCACCTGCAGACAGGAAGCCAGGAGCAGACTTACCTGTACCAGAAATATGATGAGAAAATAAAAGTTGGCAATTCTTCTGAACTGTTCAAATAAGTTCTTAGGTATGAAGTTCCAAAATGTGTACTGCATAAAAGAAAAGCCAATAAGGCTCATTTTGATCAGATTCTACTTTTTGTTCATAATAAGCATCACTAGACTTCAAAACAAAATCTTTAGCTTATTTTTTTATTTATTTTGAGACAGGGTCTCGCTCTGTAGTTCAGGCTGGCCTTGAACTCACTATGTAGCCCAGGCTGGCCTTGAACTCACAGCAGTCCTCCTGCCTCAGCCTCCCAAGTGCTGGGATTATAGGCAGTGTTTCGTTTTTCAATTCCAAATTTACTATTTGTTGATATCTTTCAATTTGTTGACCCAAAAGATAAGCTCTGGAAATAAGAGGTATACTCCAAAGCCAGCATATACGAATTCTTAATTCCAGAGAATTCAAGACAAAATATAGTCACTCAACAACAGTTTTACTGTGAAGACGTCTTCCATAAAACCAAAGCCCATCACGGTTAACCCGAACCTGGACACCAGTCCAACACTGCTGGTTAGTTACCCCCGCTGACCGCTTCCGTGCAGCAGGGTGACCCGGTGACCACAAGCCGAGGTGATATCAGGCCAGAGCGGAGGAGGCGTCCACATGGTGGGATGCAGTGTCCGCACGGTGGGGAGTATGGTCCACACAGCAGGTGAGTCAGGCAGGGCTCAGGGTCCACCGGTGGGAGCGGTGTCCCCATGGCAGGCTCAAGGTTAGAGTCAGGCAGGGTTCAGCATGCACATGGTGGGCAGTGTCCATGGGGCACAGTGCAGCATCCACACCGCAGGGTGTAGGGTCTCTACTGGAGGGCGAGGCAGGAGAGGAGAGAGGGGTTCTGGCTGCTGTGTCCCCCACTTGCCACTGGCCTCGCTGTCCACACAAGTCCTGAGGCCACTGCCCCCATCAACCGTGAGTCCCACGCTGCTGCTCTCGCTGTTCCCTAGATTTCTCTTTGTCCGACGAGTACCGTGTGTGCATTCGTGTGGTCTGTACTCCAGGCGGAGCGTGTGGCCCTGGATCTGCGCTGGCCTGGGACTCAGATCACAAACCCGCGTCCTCTCCCCTCAGCCTGAATGGCCCTAACCCACCTGGCACAGGTCGGGTGTGGTTTTCACAGACCTCATAGGAAACCACCGCTCTTGTTTTAGCTTCTTTGCCTTAAGCTTCCTGAGGTGAGCACAGGGGTCTGTTTTCCGTTCCCACCCACACGGGTGAGGTGGCGGGCCTGCGACGCAGCCCTGCTGCACCCCACTCCACGAAGCTGCGCCCTCCTTCCTGTCCCTGCTCAGGTGGCTCCACACACGGGCCGGGGTGCTCCAGGAGGCGGCCCACGGTTGCAGAAAGAAATCAGCTGCCCTGGCCCGGCCTCCGCCGCCCTCCCAGCTCTCTTAGGGTCCAAGCTGTTTGACACCAGCCCAGCCCTTTATCAGACCTGCGCCTGACTATATTTTCTAACAGGATCTTTTGCAGAGCGGGAGTTTAAAACTTCAATGAAGTCCAACTTACCAATTTTCCTCTCACGGATACTGCTTTTGGTGCTGAATCCCAAACTACACGACTAAATTTTCTCCTTCACTATTGTTTAACACTCTCACCATGACGTATGCTTTCCATTTAGGTCTCTGACCCACTGAGAGTCTATTTTTGTGGCAGGTGTAAAAGCAGTGTCTCGTTTCTTCCCGGTATGCCAACCATTCCAGCACCATTTATTCTCTCCCTGCTCTCTGTCCGCGACCGCTGACCATGTCTGGTTGTGGGCTCTGCTCTGTTCCGCCGATCTGTTTCTCACTTTCAGCCACACGAGTCTTCTTCATATCGTGGGCTATGGGAAGCTCTAGCATTAGTGCTGTCAGCCCTCCCTGCCCTCCACTCTGGGTTTTGTGCCTTTTCACGAGGATTCAGAGCTAGGTGGCTGAGATCTACTAAAGCGATGTGCTGGGACCTAGGTGTGGGTTGATGGGAGCCCCGGTCAGGCTGGTGCCGAGTTGTCCTCTCCAGGGATACGGACACCTCTCCATCCGCTCATCTTCTCCAGTCCTTTCGAGTCCTGTAGCTTTTTCCTCCTGCAGTGACTGCATCCCTGCCTGCAAGGCGAGGGTGACAGGCGGCCCTGAAGGACGGCAGCGAGGCTCAAGCCCGGCCACAGCAGGTCCTCAAAACTACAGACCCTGAAAACTGCACATACAATCAATCTTCTAAATTTTATTTATTTGGTAACAGGGATCGAACTCGGGTCCTTGCGCTTGCGAAGCAGGCGGTGGAACCACTGAGCTAAATCCCTGGCCAATCTTCTAAATTTTAAAGAGATATTTTTTTCTTTTTTGGTATCAGGGATTGAACTCAGGGGCTCAGGCTTGGCAGGCAGGCGCTGCACCGCTGAGCTACATCCTCAGTCCAAGAAAGATATATTTTCTCTTAAGTAGACCATAAAGAAAAAAATCAATTACTTTCCATTCATTTTTAAAAGGAGAATTGGGATATTCTGTCCCCAGCATTTATATTTCATATTCTTTTCCTTTTTAAGAGATACCCCAAAATGGAATTATTTTAAGGTCCTACTCTATGAAATCAGCTTTATTCCCCTGCACCCAGACAACAATTTGTCACCCATGAATTAATTAAAGTATTTCCCCACATTTCTAATACACATTACTTGGTTACAAAGCGTGTGCTCTGAGGGAGGCGGAACCTCAAGGTCCATCAGCAAGGCCACGCTTTTCCCTCCAGACATCAGCTGGCTCTGTGGCTGTCCCCACCCTTGGCGGGACCCTGAGCCCACGTGGCTGCCAGCTCCCCCAGTGAGCCAGGCTCTGGCTGGAGCGTGGCTCCTGCACGCCCCGCCTGCCCCACCCGAGTCTGTGCCATGAGACAGCGCAGAGCAACCCGGGCGCCGCGTCTGTGCAACTGGACACTGTCCAGCTCCTGGGCTATTATTTCCCTGAAACGGATCCGGCCGCAGGCGTGCATGTGACTGCCCTAAAACACACTGGTGACCAGATTCTGGGCCATGTGGGTGGCTGCCACCCATGCAGGGTGAGGCCCATCTTTCTCTGTGACCGGAGCAGGCACGACAAGGGCAGTGGGTCAGGACCGTGCTGGACGGCTGTCAGAAGGGGGCCATCACACACAGGGCAGGCTCAGGGACAGCATGGCTGAGGGCGCTGACCCCTCCCAGGGCCCTGCGCATGTTCTGCTCTTCAGTTCCTCACAGATACTTGGGATGGTGACTCATGGCCGCTCCTGGGCTTGGGGCTTAAATGGAAACACACATCTACCAGGTGGGAGGCTAATTCTAATTCCTCATTTCCTGTGATCAAAGAGATTCTCCTTTCTTGAAGGCACAGACTGGTGGTGTAAAGAAAGGAGTCCTAGGGCTGGGGATTTAGCTAAGTGGTTCTGGCGTCTACCTCGCAAGCACAAGGTCCCAAGTTCAATCCCCAGTACCAAAAAAAAAAAAAAAGAAAGGAGTCCTTGATTCTGCAGCACCCAAGGGGCAAAGCGGCGTGTGCACAGATGTTGTTTCTGAAATGCGGGGTGGCGAGCAGCTGACCCTCACTGTCCATGCCAGGGGCTTTCCCGGGGGGACCTGTGCCCATTGTCACCACCTTTCCTCCTCTCACCAGGTGTTTCCCCCTACAAGGGCCCAGAGCGCTGAGATCGGTCCCATAGAGGCTGCAGAGGAGCCAGAGCAGGAGGAGTGTGACACAGGAGGGCCAGGCACTCCCCATGCTGAGGCGCGAGAGGAACATGCTGAGAAATGTCCTTCGGTTTTATAAGGAAGAAACCAAAATTCTCATCCAAGAAAACATGGACGCAATTCTGCTGACATTCTCCAAAACCTGTTGTGAAATTCCTTGTTATCAATGAAAACAGTCAGAGTGCTCCAGTGCATACTGGAGAATTGCACAAAAATCCGCCTCAGTCTCTGTGAGTCAGAGGTGCTCGCAGCTGACCCTGCTGGCTTCCAGTCCTCCTGTCCGGGCTGGTCCACTCCTTCCTGGGTCTGACCCACGTGCTCTCCCTCTGCAACTGTGCTTCTCAGGACCTGGCTGTCAGAGCAAGGCCAGACCCACCTCCTCCAGCAACCAAGGCCACAAGGGCACAGGGTGGTGTCAGAGCGAGGCGTCTGGTGCTCTGGGGCACCTCGACCGCCATCCGCCCTCCCGCTGGCAGAGCCAGGGACCCCAACTGCTCTCTGAGGGTATTGACTTGATCCTGCTGGTTCCTGCTGGAGGGCTTCCTGGTATGCAGGGCCCTAGTGGAGAATCAGTTTTGACACGCTCCTGATACCCACGGCTCCCATGCAACCACCCGGGTTTCCCCCACCACCACCCCTGGGGCTCCCGTCCCACAGGGCCCTCCTTTGGGCTGCAGGAGTATTTGAAAACAAAAGCAAAGAAGTGACAGACTGGCCCTGAAACTGCTCGGACAGCCAAGGTATGGACATCGCTCCATTCAGGCTTCTCTCCACAAACTGCTGCCAGGGGCTTCAGAGTCCCATCTGGGGCTTTCTGCGGCTGCTCCCTGAGGCCTGCAGAACTTGGTGACTTCCCACTGACCAGGAAGAGCCAGAGGCCAGGGTGCCAAGGCACAGCCCTACCCCGGGGCAGCCAGGGCCCGGGTGTGTATGGAGAGCACAGGGCTCTGACACACGGTCCTGTGGGTCGATGTGGCAGCCTCGCTGACAGCTGCCACCATCTCGGGCCCCTGGGCCGACGGCCCGGCTGCCCGACACATGGCCATGGGCAGAGCACCCGCCCGCCCTCCTGCTGCTCAGTCTTGGCTTCTAAGAGCTCACTTAGCAGGTCCTCATTTCTCAGCCTCTGGGGCCAGAGGGCACCACACACAGAAACCCTGCGAGGGCCGTGGGCCAGCCGGTCACATGCAGAGCACCGGACTCTACAGACCTGTTTCTGGGGTGAGCTCCTCTTCGTTTATCAAGTCTGTAGATGGAGGGCCGCTGAGTAGGTCGGGATTCTGCTTTTGAGCATTTTATTTACCTATGTTGTGTTTCTAGATGTTCAAGTCACACTTTTTAAAACTGTGCTGTTATAAACAAAACCCATAACAAAGGCTCTGAGAAGCTGAGCTTTTCCGGTGTCAGATGGTAACAGACGAGAGGGCCTCTCTGAAGTTCGTGAAGGACTTGGCCACTCTGCCACAGGTCTGCACACAGGAGGGACGCCGCGAGAGGTAAGTGACCAACTATCAGGCCTGCTGCTCCAGTCCCGCCCAGGATGCCTACGCCCAGGGCAGCCGACCCCCGGCCGCACCACTGCACACCCTGCGCAGGCTCGGACACCGCACGCCCTGCATCTGGTGTGTGTGTGGGGTGCTCCCCACCTGCTGCTCTCCTGCCTGGTCCCTGGCTGTTCCCACTCATGGGGAACATGATTCTGCCCTTCCCGCCTGTGACGACCAGAACTCCTCCTGCTCCCTGCGCCCCAGGCACCCCGATGCTCAGTGCTGTTCTCCTCAGGAGCTGAGGCCATGGAGGCAGTGGCGTGTTCACATGTCACATGTGAGGAGACCCTGGCCGGGGTAGTGGGTGACAGGTACTCACCCTCTGCCTGCAACACAGCCTTCACAGAGGGGAAGCTGGTGTGGGGGAAGTGAGCAGCATGAGGTGTGGGCGGGAGAGGCAGGGGGCGCAGCCCTGGTCACACGCTCTTGGGTGGGGCCGCGCCGTGACCAGGGTGCAGGGGCAGCTGTGACTGCAAGCAGGGCCACTGCGGAGCGCAGCGGGCTACCTTGGAGGAGACGATCCTGTTGTCGGGGTATCTCTGTGGAATGTAGGCCTCGGCGCCCGGTGGCGGCTCCTTGTGTCCCACGTAGATGGTGCGGCTGTCCACCCAGTTCTCCTCCCCGGCGCACTGTGGGGACAGAGAGGGCAGTGTCAGCCACTCCGGGGCACCTGCCACATGGCTCCCACCCTCGCCTGCTCCTCGGCACAGAGCCGTCTCGTCTGCTGCACCGGGTGACAGGGGAGGGTGCCTTGTCTCCCTGCTGCACAGGCCTGTGCTGCGCTGTCCCCAGTGGCGCCAGGGTGGTCGTCTGTGCCATGGAGACTCGGATTCTCTGGATGCGGCTGTTGTGAGAACAGCACAATTCGGGCTCATTAGAAACAGAGCTCGGCAGGACCGGTGGGGTCTTCCGGCTGACGATTTGGGGAAAGGAAGCCAGAACCTTGGCTCAAAACAGCACAAGCCCTCCACCAGTCAGGCAGGAGCTCGGCAAGGCTTCCTGAGAGGGGCGGGTGATGGGGTCTGACTTCCTCTGATTCGGGGCACAGCACACAGGTGGTGAGGATGCAGCTCTGCGAGAGGGACCTGCATGAGCACTCCTCCTGACTGGGCCGTGCACAGAGGAGGGACCAGGACACCAAAGCCACGCTGAGCCACGGCCCGCATGCCAGGGTTCCAGGAGCAGGGAGGCAGCAGCCCCGGGTGCAGCAAAGCGGCGGAAACCAAGGCTCCCGGCCGAAGGGGCAGGAGTGTGAGGCAACACTGACATGTGCCGAGGGCCCCACCCCACCCTCCTGATGTCCGGCTCTGTCCCCCAAGGTGCTGGCACTTCACAGAGCTGTCACCCACGCAAGGTGCCCAGCCAGACTCTGGGGGTCAGGGCCAGGGCAGCAGACCTGCCCTGGGGGCTGGTGTCCACAAGAAGCCCTGGTATGTGTCCCCAGCACGCAGTGCGCTGCACCTGTGTGGACCTCTGTCTCTCCTCGGGAGCAGCGACCTATCCTGCAAGCACCCATGCTTCCCTGGCTGCCGAGCATCCACATGAGCAAGGGGAAGGCCAAGTCCCTGGATGCTCAGCTGCACCCTCCAGGCACCTGCAGGGACGGTGAAGGTCACGTCCACGGGCGCTGGGGCCACCTGGGCCCTGGGAACGGACCAGACGGAGTTGCTCCTGGCCAGACCAGGCTCCATGGCACAGATGTACCAAGAGCATCCTCCTCACAGCATCCTGGGCTGCAGCTCCTGGGAGGGACCAGAGGCTGGGCAGGGTGTGCAGGCTGAGAACGCAGGCCCTGGCCCTCCCTTCTCCTAACGTCATTGTCACTGACCTAAAGCACTGCAGGGAGTCCCGTTACCTATATGTATGTCCACAAGTTCCAATACTTTATACACGGCCTGAGATAAGTCACCCTCGAGCAGCATGACCAGCAAGCCAGGAGGCTGGAGACGTATGCATCCAGAGACACAGCCCCCAGGGCTGCCAGCCAGGTGAAGCCAGCAGCCTGGGAAGCCTCCCTCTGGGCTCCACCACTGCCCGCAGCAGCCTTCCCAGCCATGGTGAGGCTGCCACATCCTTGACAGGGATCTGTGGCCCTCATGGTGCTCACACATGGATCTCTACACCCAGGAGCGGGGAGCCCTCCTTCTCCCATCTCTCTGGACACAGCCAAACCTACAACTATGCATTCTCAGGGACTTGGGAAACCACACTGAAGAACACAACTGAATGGAAGAAGAGGGCATGCATATCTGTATACCACGTGGTTCTCCCAGAAGATTCTGGGGCGGTGGTGGCCAGATTCTGGGTGACTTGGAAGCTGAAGCCACCCAGAGCCACCAGGGGCTAAACGGAGGGGTATGGGCACCTCCTGTCCACTTCCGAGGACACTCACTGAGGCCAAGTCACAGGCCTGCTCTGGACGCCCCGCCCTCCGCTGTCAGGGGCCTCCCTGTGCCTCCGCGCCTGCTCTTCCGCCCCCGGGGAACAGGGGACTTCTTGAAGCAGGTGCACATTTGGGGACGATGCTGTGTGCTCATCCCGGACCACAGAGAGAAAGGTGGGAGGGGAGGTGGAGGGCTGCAGTCGGGGACAGGGGCAGGCACTGGTGCTGCACCCCCTTCCTCCAGGCCAGTGAGGGGGCTGGGGAGAGGACGCCCAAACTGCAGCTGGAGTGGAAGGGAGGCTTTGGAGCTGGCAGGAAGGGTGTGGCAGTCCTGCTTCATCCCTGGTCGGCTGGCTTCAGGGCAACGCATGGGTGGACCCCGGCTGCTCCCGGGGACCTCGAGGATGCAGTGAAATTCTAATCCCGCTGTCCCTGACTGCTCCCTGAGAACCACTTGACAGAGTCAGGCCGAGCCAGGAGGCCTTGCTGGGAAGACTCAGCTCACAACGTGGACACAGTTAGCAAGGACCATGGTGACAGTGCAGTCCAGGCCGCCACGCGACCCTGCCCACAGTGGCTGACAAAGCACCGAGGGCCAGAGCAGCACAACCAAGGGAGTGCTGCACACGGCTGGGGCTCAGAGCCCTCCTGGCTCCTGCTCCTGGGCAGCATCGGGATGTGGGTTGGACACAGCAAGGAGGGTGCAACCAAGTGCGAGGAAACTCCGAGGCCTGGAAGGAGGAGCAGGCAGGGGCTTGGTAACGGGCCGGGCCCCCTGCCCATCCTGGCCCGGGCCTGGTCGGACCCAACGTTCCTGAGCACCCCAGGCGGAGCACAGAACGGGGCCGCTGAGGCCACACTGTCCAGTTTGCCACAACGACAGGACTGACCCCTGGGCCTGCTCACTCCAGTGAATGATCTACCTACCTCCAAGCTGCGTCCTCAGTCCTTTCTGACAGCTTTTGTTTTGAGACAGTCTCACTAAATTTCCCTAACTGGAGATCCTCCTGCCTCAGGATCCTGAGTAGCTAGGATTACAGGTGTGCAACAGCACACCTGGGTGCAGAAGTGCATTTAAAATAGAGATTTGTTTTAAAGAAAAGTAATTTGAGACTGTTTACTCCTAAAATTTGGGCAGTGAATAAGAGGCGGGAAAATATAATCCCATAAACTTTAAGGGGTTAGTCATACTTGGATGTTAATTTTTCTTCTTTCTGATATTTATTTATTTTGAGACAGGGTCTTCCTATGTAGTTCAGGCTGCCCTGGAACTCTAGTAGCCCAGGCTAGCCTGGAACTCTCAGTGATTCTCCTGCCTCAGCCTCCTGAGTGCTAGGATTATAGGTTAATTTTCAAGAGAACAAAAATCTCAAGCAACTCTGCCCTGCCCAACTTCAGAACATGGGGCGCTGGTTCCCACTGCCCTGCACGCCTCTTGCTGGAGGCACCACCACTGCAGTCACGGTCAGGAGCTCCCTCACCATCCACCCCAGACTTCGGGCACAGGTGGAGACAGGCAGCTTGCAAGGCGCTGCCTGGGGCTCGCTGTGGCGTCAGCAGGGTCCCTGAGCACAGAGGGGTCTTGGGCCACGCACACCCCACTCTCCCGGAAGCCCCTTCCCACCATGACAGTGCTGCGGCATCTCTAGGTCACCGCGGGGCTGCATCCCGAGGGGGCAGAGGCAGATCTCAGGTAGGGTTCGCGTCTAGCACTGCGGAGTCCGGTTCCTCTCTTGCATGTTCTTCTTATGCGTCCAGGATCCAGAACCAGAAAGTTGTCAAAGGCTGTGTGCCGACCTGGAACTGGGTTTGCCTGAAGCCCCAGACTCCGCAGTGCAGCCCAGGGGCAGGACAGGAATGCTTCAGAGCACCTCGGATCAAACCGGCTTACAGTACAGAAACCGAGGCCAAAGGGGGCCGCTCTGCTGGCTCCTGACCAACCCCCCTGGGTCACGTCGCTACATCTGCAGATCTTGGGGAACCCCGGCTGACCCCCGCAGGGCGACAGGAGCTCTGCAGGTTCCCCAGGAGGCCGAGGTCCCTCTCTTCCTCTCCCATGACAGCAGCTTCTTCCTCGAGCCATCCAGAGGAGGTGGACGCTGTTGCAGACTGAACAAGGACCCAGCTACCGTGGGGCCCAGGATGTAGGCAGAAGCCTAAGGAGAGCTGCAAGCTAATGCTGAGCAGTGCTGGGACGCTCAGCTCAGTCATCACTGGGGAGGGACGGGAGGCGCCCGGCGCCTGTGCTCGTCTGAGGATCCGTCCACCCTGGGGTGCCAGAGGGGCCGCTGAGGACGTTGCTGGCTGTGCTTGGGGGGCGTCTGGCTGGGAGGTCCCGGGGGTGGGGGAGCCGTCCGCCAGAAACCCTTGTCACTATGCACCTGAGACGCGCACGGTGCCTGGAGAACAGGAAGAGCTGCCCTAGCTGAACCCTAGACGCACAGCGAGGGCGGCAGACCCGCAGACAGCTGGGGAGATGGGGCGCACTGCCCTGGGCAGCAGGGAGGCAAACCTTGGGCCTAACACTGACTGCCTAAGGGAAGCGTCCCGGCAGGCTGATCCACAGGGACAGAGATGTGCGGTGGGGTGGGGGCCAGCTGCGGGAGGTTTTAAAGATGCTTTGAGATTAAAGCAGCCTGTGTGTCCATGGACAGGTGATGGACAAAGAAATGCAGTGTTCACAAAAAGTGGAGCACTACTCTGCCACAAAGAAGGATAAACTCGAGTCCTCTGTAGGAAAGTGGATGCGCTTAACAGAAAGTTGAGTGAAATCAATCAGACACACAAGCCTAAACATCGCATGGTTTCTCTTACATGAGAAACCCAAAGTATAAATAAGTCAAAGAGCAAAACAAAAGACAGATAACAGGAAACAGGAAGACAGACCTTTTGCAAATGGGAAGGACCAAGAGTTGGAGGGAGGGGGAGGGAAGGAAAGGGGCAGGAAAAGAATGGACCTGGGTGATGTCCACGCACCGACTCCCCCTGAGGAGTGTGACCATTAGCATTGCAAACTTGCAATGACCAAAAGATTACATTACGCTGGTGGCTGCAGAACTTGGTACAGACGCAAAAACCACGGTGCTGCACTCTTCAGACAGATGACATGGACCTGTCACCCATCGCAACAGAGCTACCTCCCCTCCCAGCCACACAGGCTCAGAGCCCAAACACTGTGCTGGGTGTGTCCAGCACTCTGCTAAGACATTTTCCCAGCAAAACAAGACACGACTTCTACTACAGCGT